AAAATTGGCTTCTCCATTTAATGACATGTACTGAATTTTATAACATAACTACAAATATTATTCTACAAATCGAAATAACTTCTCGAAAAAAATTTTTAATTTTTTTATGCCAGAAATTGTTGAATAACTCTGAGCATATTCGTGCTAGTGATAGCTATTCTGATTGCATTCTACGTATATTTTCTTTAGAGCAGTAGCCATCATCAATTTTGGTAGATTTTAACTGAAGTGCTGAAAAGCTGAAAAGCTTACAAAGTGCTCAAAAGCTGAAAAATTTCCTCTGTTTAGAATGTTGCCAAGCCATTTGCGATCCGAGCCACCGCCTCGCTAGCATTTGTCCGGAGCCATGTACTCTATAGCCCACCGATTTCCCCAATTTTTTATCTACTCCCCCCCGCCGCCCCCACTGTTTGCTTGCTTGTCCACTTGCCCGGGGATCCTCTTGCCCAACTTTGCGCCCTCGTAGCGACCCCCTTGCCCAACGACCTCACCGCCAACCGACCCCCCCCCCCTCAAGCTCGAGAATAGGGCCCCCTTAGCTTTATTACGGGACTTCTAGTGCGGATATTATCTGGGGCCAAGCGATCGCCAGGCGGGTCCTGCTCCTGCTGGGGCCTCCTGTGGTCCCTGTGGTTCCGGTGGTCCAACCTCCTTGGCCGACTTTCTTTTAGGTTTGCCGCCTGGGGAACATTTTCCACCCCCTTGGCTGACTTTCTGCCAGGTTTGCTGCCTCGGGAACACTTTCTACCCCCCGGAGTGATTTCCTGCCAGGTTTGCCGCCTCGGGAACACTTTGCCGCCCGCCTTTGTTGATTTTCTGCCAGGTTTGCTGCCTGGGGAAATATTTCCGCCCCCCAGGTTGATTCCCTGCCAGGTTTGCCACCTCCTCGGGAACATTTTCCGCGCCCCTTTGTTGAATTTCTGCCAGGTTTTGCCGCCTGGGGAACATTTTCCGCCCCCTTGGTTGATTTTCTGCCAGGCTTGCGCCCTTCGTTGATTTTCTGCCAGGTTTGCTGCCTGGGGAACATTTTCCGCCCCCCTGGTTGACTTTCTGCCGCATTTTCTGCCAACCGGGAACATATTCCGCCCCCCTCTGTGACTTTCTGCCGCATTTTCTGCCTACACGGGAACGCTTCCCACTCCCCTGGTAGAGTTTCTGCCACCCGGGAACACTTTCCGCCCCCGTCTGTGACTTTCTGCCACCCGGGAACATTTTCCGCCCCCCTCTGTGACTTTCTGCCGCGTTTTCTGCCTACCCGGGAAGGAACATTTTCCACCCCCCTCCGGGACTTTCTGCCACCCGGGAACACTTTCCACCCCCCTCTTGGACTTTCTGCCGCATTTTCTGACAATGGGGAACATTTTCTGCCCCCCTCTTGGACTTTCTGCCGCATTTTCTGCCACCGAGAACACTTTTGCCGCGCCTTCCTCTTGGACTTTCTGCCGCATTTTTTGCCAGGCTCTGGGAACTTCTGCCGAAGGAGCTTGCCCCCCTCGCCGTCTTGTGGACATTTTCCGCGTCCCTCTTGAGGATAGGTTAAGACTAAGACTGAGACTCACAACCAGGGGAACGCTGCTGCCCCTCGTCCGCCACGTCAAAGCTCCCAACAAAGTGAACAGGGGAGAAGAAACTCACAGCCAAGCTATTGCGCGAGGCCGTTGCCCTTTGCTGTTGTGATCTCAGTCAGCTGAATCCTAAAAAAGTTGCTGACAGTCAAGCCATTGCCACGCTGCTGGTGCTAGCGCTATCGCGTGCTTCTCAAGGTCCTCCTACAGGCTGCTCCGATTTATTTTTGGTGGATGTGCTCACTGCGGTCACAGTTGTGCTTTCGTGCTAAATTAGGCGAAGTTAACACAGGCTGGCGCCTCCTCTGTTTACTTTACATTTTCAAAATGGTAAAGAAGCGAAACCAAATTGCCTACACGACTAGAAATCCCGTAAGGCCCAGGGGGTCCCTTTCTCGACCCTACCCCCCCCCCTCTCATTTTGCCAGCAAATTCCCATAGAATTCATCTACCAAATTTCCTCGAGGACAGGGACGCCCTCTATAGGGGCCCGCGGGAAACTAATGGAAGGCAAAAGCTGGCGCTTTGTAGCTCCCTCGCGACTGGCATGGGATCCCCACTAGATTTCGCCAGCCCCTCTTTCTACTGGGAACGCATTCGGGGCCGGCGCAGGCCTCGCATTAGATTCTGAAGCGCGCAAAGCTGACGCCGAAAACCCTGCGCCCGCCATTAGGTGGCGCGCAGTCCTCGCAATTCGCTTGGAGGTGCGACGCTCTTCGAGTTGGGAGGGTTTCCCTCTTAGGGAGTCGCCCCTTTTCGAGGCCCTGACCGTTCGCGGCCGTGCGCTCGTTTGTTTGCCTGCCGCGAAGCTGATGTCTAGCGCCTTGCCTCCGCCATTAGATGGCGCGCAGTCCTCGCGAGTCTCTTAAGAGTGCGACTTCCTTGAAGTTGGGAAGTCGTCTTCTTTAGGAAGTCGCTTGCTTTTCGAAGCCCTGGCCGCCCGCGATCGTGCGCCCGTTTGTTTGCCTGCCGCGACGCTGATGCCTACAGCTTTGCCTTCGCCAATAGGTGGCGCGCCGTCCTCGCGACTCGCTTAAAAGTGCGACTCTCTTCAAGTTAGGAAGGTGACCCCCTTAAAAAGCCGACTTTTTTCGAGGCCTTGACTGTCCGCGATCGTGCGCTCGTTTGTTTGCTCGTCGCGGGGCTGGTGCCCAGTACCGCCATTAGGTGGCGCGGGGTCCTCGCGATTCCCTAAAAGAAACGGCTCCCTTTTGGTTGGGAGGGCGATCCCCTCAAAAGGCTGCCTTTTTTCGGAGCCGTGACTGCCGCGATAAGTCGAGGACAGACGCGCAGCCCAGGGCCGCCTAGCAGCCGGCCCGCGATGGGTCGACAACAGACGCGCAGCGCAGAGCCGCCAAGCAGCCGGCCCACGATAAGTCGACAACAAACGCGCAGCGCAGAGGGAGCTCCCTAGCAGCCGGCCCGCGCGAAGTCGATAACAGACGCGCAGCGCAGAGCTACGTAGCAGCCGACCCGCGATAAGCCGGCAACAGACGCACGGAGCAGAGCTGCCCAGCAGCCGGGCCGCGATAAGCTGACTACAGACGCGCAGCGCAGGGCTGCCCAGCAGCCGGCCCGCGCTAAGTCGATAGCTGTCCGGTCCGTAATAGTTTCAGACTTGCAGAAGGGAAAGGGAAAGGATGGCCACACGGAAGGGACTCCTCGCGAGTCTGTAGCACTTAGGAAGCAAATACCACACGGCACTCCAACCCTGACAGTCTCAGGCTCGAAGAAGGCAGGCGGAAAGTTTGGCCGCGCGGTTGATAGAATCGAGAAAGCCCCACTCCCATGGGAACTAATGGGAGAAGAGTTTTCGGCCTTTTTCCATTAAGAGCGCCAGCCCCCGTTTGCCGACGAGCGACGGCCAAGGAGAACCAAGGCGCAAGCTCCGCAGTGAATGCTAAAGGCCCTGCCTTCTCGCTGCTTTAGCTGAATAGAAGCGAGGGGGCCGCTGCTTCGTTCGAAACTAATAGGAAAAAGGGCGCACCACTTTCCCGCATTAGTTTCCCGTCGGCCCCTAAGGGCGATCGAAACGATAGGCCAAAGTACCCACCCACCTACTTACCCGCTTGTCGATTCACGTCCCCACCCTGCGGTCCCGTCCCCCCCTTCGTACCAGACCCGCCCCCGAGCCTCGTCACCACAATAGCAACCCCCCGGGGATCCCTTCCTTTTCAAAATCCGCGCCTGCTTGCCCCGTGGTGCAATACCCCCTCGGGCCGTCCCCTCGCCGACTGCATCTCTCCGCCAAGCCGTCTCATGCACTTCCCCACCCTGGTGCCCCCTTAGCTCGTAGCCGATCGGCCTACCGACGCCAGGCCCCGCGCCCGCGCCCCCCGCCGGGGCGCCCGGGCCCGGTAGGCTCCGTTGCTCCGGCCCGGGCGCCCGCACACGTCGCGCGCAGCCCTGTTGCCCCCGGCTCTGCGCAACGATCGCCCCCCTCCCGCGCCACTACAGGTTTGCGCTTGCCGCTGGCCGCCGCGAGCGCGTCGCTACCCGGACCGCGAATCCCTGGGTGCGCGGGCCGTGAAGCTGCAGCGCTGCGCGCCTTTTTGCGCGAGAAAGACCGAACCCCGCATGATTTGGAGCGGGTAGCCGCCGAGCACTTCAGACCGCCCTGCCCGCTCGTGGAAAATCCAATCGCGGGGCCCGTGCATTACGCCTTTTGAAAAAAACGCAGGATACCCGACATTAAAAAATGTCCACCGAGAGGAAGAAGGAAGCAGACCGCCCTATCCGTCTCGGCCGGCTTAAAATGGGTCTTGCAGTAAACGCGGTCTTTTGAAAAAAGTCTTGCTTCGAGAAAGTGTTTCGAACCAAAAAGAACGCATCTCGATTGTGCGCGAAATTTTACATGCAGTGAACCAGCTTAAGCTGCTTCGTCTTCATGTAGATCACTCACTGTCGGTGGAACAAAAGAAACTATAGCCGCCTACTTTGCGAGCATGACATTAATTTAGGCGACAAGCAATCTTCCTCGACGATATGGTGAAACCGAACACTGCGTCTCCTTCATCGTTAAGGTCGGTAACGTCGCGGTAGTGTTGAAGTCGAACATTGGAACATTGTATCCTCGCATGTCGCAACATCGCCCTCTCTTGATCCTGGCAAGCAATCCCCGTCGATTATTGTGATTGTAACATTACGCGTGGCGAGTCAATGTATACAGCCATTGTATTTACAGCGTGACATTAACTCATAGGCTTACAGGTTGAAGACAACTGCCCACAGGCTTATAGTTGGCGTGGGTGGAGCACACGAATGAATCAAGTCATTGTCCGTATCCACTACTATCATGCCTCATGGAGAGCCAATCCCTATCCTATCCTAAGAAGTAGTAAGTACATCTCCAGATCAGTGTCTGTGTCACACACGCAAGAATCCAAGATCAAAGAAAGATCAAAGACATCCTCCCTGCGAAGATGACGATCAAGTCTTTTTAGAAATGCAAGGCAACGCATCTTATTAGGTTTGCCGTCTATATTAGAGATCTTAGTGAGTATACAGGTTCCCCCTGTGGGCGGCGAATCAATTGCTCTCCTATCCTATCGCTGAAAGCAGAGACGTTAGTCTAAGTAAACGCGTTTTTGTTTTTTACATCTTCGTGTGCTACTTGGTTTATGTTGAACCTGTATGAATTCATCTAAGATAGAGATTGTACTTGATCTGGAGAGAGTTTTCTGGCCGACGTTTTGTTTTCCTGAAAAAAAATCAAAATCTAAAGAATCGAAATCATGTCCGCACCAGAAAGAGGATCCCATCTTCACTCCACGCCTCGCGGAGCCTCTCTTCAGTCCACGATCGATGGTGGGCTCTCACCTCCAGTGGCCACAGGCAATGAAAGGAGCTCAGATGAAGAAGTTCCGTCTACGAGGACCAAGAAGACTGGCAACACGTCCACCTACAAGAACTCAACATCGCTAGAGATTTTATTAGCACGTTTAAACGGACTGCTGTTTCCTCCTCAAGAAGGACGACGCGATGAGTCCTCGTATCGGGACTTCCGGAAGCGGAATGCACAACAATGGTCCAGTTTAGTGGAGCCACAGTTGCGAGAATGCTTCGACATGTTGCGAGACCGGTTCAATATCCCTATCAGCGCCTTGGTCCTAGATCCTGATGTCAGGGAGTGTTACGTGTGGCCGGATTTTATTAGCCAGTATCATAAGGAAAATGAAGATGTTCTTGATGACCACGAAAAGCAGCAGGAGCAGCTGGAACCAGTGCACAAGCATGTTGTTGTTCAACATGTTGTTTACGTCAAAGAAAAGCAGCAGCTCCACCAGCTAAAACATGATGAACATCCTATAATCTTCACTGAAACATATTGCTGGCAAGTATGTCGATTCTTGCAATTGCCGAATCTATGGGTCTACCTTGCTGAACTTTGGCTCCTGGACGATGAGAGCTGTCTGGAGAGTGCCAGAAAACTGCTGCACGACTATGGATTCGGTATCAATGACACCGTGCCAACCTGCTTTACACGTCTTCAGCCGAAGTGTAGTGATGTCGATACTATGGCGTGGGTGAGGAAGCCTTCGTTGAAGGAGCTGCTTAGCGAAGCAGATGCCAAGCGGAAGGAAGAACTGGACGCCACAAGAACTGGAAAGCATCGCACTATTGCTAGAAGTGGGGATGGACGACCTGTACTAGACCTAAGGACTGCCGATGGTGATGAAGTGGATGACCACAGAACGCGTCCAGAAGTAGAGGACCCGAAGCTGGATCCTGTAGGAGTAGACGACCCGACTCCCGCTCCTACTAGTAATGGGGACCAAACTCCTGCTCACGGTGATGAACCGGATCATCTAGAGGTAGAGGACGACTCAACGGCTGCAGCTATCCAAGCTGATGATGACCCGATGTTTCTAGCAAACCCGACGCCTGCTATCGAAAGAGTTCTGACTGGAAATCGTGGTAAGCGTCTTCTACAACTATTTAACGATCCTATCAAAGCCATAGTGCAGCCCTTGCCAGCGCTTGCTTTGGCTGTGTGTCGTCTGATTATGGGTAAAGATGTTGTACTAGAAGTTGGTGGGGGGGAGGATGAGGATGATGTACAACCTGACAGGGAGAAGAAGAACAACTATTACGAGTACGAGAAAAAGAGCCGAAAGCAACAAGACGTGGGAGCCCGAGAAAAAGATCATGACGCAGTGGTGCGCTTATTAGACTGGGGCGCAAACGCTTTTGGTGACGACACAGACACTACAGTTAATAGCACTACAGGCGTTACGAAAGTCACTTCAGGAGTCTCCGGTCCTCGCGGTCAGGTTTATAGTTCTCTAATGCGTCTGCTTATGCTGGCGAGACATGAAACGGCGGTACTAGAAGCGTTGCAGATGGAAATAGAATTCGTCGCTCATGGCTTACAAATGTTACAATGCCGTAGGCAGATGCACCAGGGTGCTGATGCTGACGAAAGGGATGGCGAATGCGGTGGTCACGAAAATGATGCTGACGAAAATGACGCTGACAAACATGACGCTGAGGATGCTGTTGAGACAAGTGATATTGAGGCATCCTCGACGGGGCGTGTTGATGGAACTCCCGTTATGATCTGTAGTCCTGGTGAAGATGGAGCTACTCGTGTTGAAAGAAGTCCTACCGATGTTGGCACGGATCTCTCAGAAAGAAGTGCTGCCGATGATGCTGAAGACATCGAGAGGAAATCAAGGCAGCTCCTTTTGGATGGAACAGCTAGTAGTCCAGAATGTTGTACACTCACGACTCGTGGCCCTACTCCATATGACGCAGCCATCAATGTAGTTGCTGATGATATTGAGTGTCTAAAAAACATGAGTGAGCAGAACAGGATGATAGCTTGGAGCTGCGTTGAGGCGTTGAGGACGCTGTTGGCCACGTTTAACCTCACTCCGACTCTGTTTATTCCTCAGAGCAAAGACGGTGCTGACGGAGGAAATTCTTCCAGTTCCTGCGATGAAGGGGATAAGGATGAACCCCAAGAACCTTTTACTGTAGCGCTTGGGCACGAGGAGGTCCTGCTAGCCTACGCCAAGAACTACCCGGTTGCTCAAGGAATTATCGAATACCTTCGCGGGGTAGGGATTTCGATCGATCTCAACTTCGACGTCAAAGAGACACAGGAACCAGTAGCTAGAAAGAAAATGGACTTAACAGATCATCATCGAAAGCCTTCTTCTTGTTCTCTTGACGCAGGATCTCATTTTCTACCCGCCAGAAGTGAATCGGAAGATTGGCAGACGAATTTGGTGTCCTGTTTTCTCAATCACGCTCCCCTTCTAGAAACACTCTTCAAAAACGGCGTGCGCGTTCCGGTGCAACGGCCCGGACCACCACGTGTATTCCCAGGGATAAGAAGACGCCGATCTTCTCGCGGTATAAGCCGCGGTGCAGCATCATCTTCGAGAAATCTTCTAGCTTCGATAGCAGAGGACGATCAGAACGTGCATTGTTCAGTGACCACAATGAACCTGCTATGTCTAGTGACTCATGCGCAGAGGTATGCTTTGCGTACTATGAGGAAGCAGAGCACGTCGCCAGGCGAAGAAGAAATGATCAGTAGCAATATGAATGCTGCTTCTAGTACACCAGAGACTCTTCCCGAAGCACTTCTTGCAGCTCGGATTGACAATCTTTCGGCGACTGAAGCAGCGCAGTTGTGTCGAGGAGAGGAGCACTGCGAGGCCCTACTTCAGCTAAGCGAGGACAAGGACCCCAACTCTGCTTTGGAAAAAGTGCGGGCATGTCTGCGTGCTCAATTAGCAAGGGTTCTCCTGAACAGTAAAGCACCAACCAGTGCTACTACTACTACAGGAAATCATGCACAACACGCGTTCCCTCCGTTTCTATTCGCCAGGCAGCGCGACGTGTTGTGCGATGGTCACTACGCGATTGGATTAGTGTCCACTTACCTGAAACTCCGCTTCTCTGGTGATAATCATGCTGCATCTACTACCGATAAAGTGGAAGTCGACGACAATGCTACTTCCTCTACAACTTCTGCAGCAGTTTCTGGTGATGCTGCATCTTCTCCAATTTCTGGTGATGCTGCATCTACTACCGATAAAGTGGAAGTTGACTTGTCCTCCTGGGATATGATCATACTGAAGACTTTGTTACAAGCTGGCAACGAGTACGGACCTGTTTTGCAATCCTGTGATCCTGTTCGCTTTGTTGTGCATGCACTGCAGGGCAGGGTTGAAGATGAATCCTTGCATCAGGAAGTAGATTTGCAAGGTGATTGGTTTCTCGAAAGCAGCTTGGACCACTATTTAGGTTATTTGCGGAAACTTCGGGACTCGGGCGATACGGATGCCTTGATCGCAGAGGGACAACGACGATTATTTTAAGGCTTCCCCAAATCCATCTCCGGAAGCATCCTCTCTCAAGAGACTTTTCAAGGGGAAAAAAAACCCAGGATGCATCTCGAGATGGATTAGGGCGAGCTCTAATTACTCCTGGAAGCCGATAAGGAGTACTTCCATACGAGGGATGGAGCGCAGCCTATGATGATAACCACAACTCCTACGACGTGGGTCGCGACAGCGATGAAAAATATTTACGATGGAGTTGTGAACGGAAGTTTTACTACTGCTTCTAGCTGCAGCATGATGGAGGTAACTCCTGCAATACTGGCGAACAAAGTGCGCGGCCTGTTCTTCCGTGTCTTCCTTTCCGACATGCGGGAAGATATTTTACTGAAGGAGGACTTACACCATTTGGAGACAAGAGATGCAGGCCCTCCAAACTACAGGAACAACTACAACAACACTTCGGCGTACAACAGTTTTTCGTCCTCTTCAGTCTTTTCGCCTCGATTGCATCCCATATATTTGCAAATCGATCAGATTGCGGATCTGCTCCAAAAAGTCTTTCTGCATGGCGATCACATGCAAAAAGCCTTTGCGCCGTTTGTCAAGGAGGAGGGAGAGGATAGTCCTGGGATCACACCCGTAAAAACAAGTTTACTGGGTATATCATCATCATCATCAGGCACAGGCACAGATACTTCTCCTGTTGGCGAAAGTCCCCGTCCACGCGCTGGAGAACCTAGCACGCCGAGTTGTACAGGTTGCAGTACAGAAACAGAATGTAAAAAGCGACCCGCTTCCACTACCCCAGCTTCGGAACCGGCAGGTAGTGGAGTGAAGCGTGCCAAACAAAGCGATGCTAGTGCTTGAAGATAAGGCACTGACTTAAATAAATTCTTGTAACTTCGATCCCAAATAGTTCTCATTTTGAAGTTCTTCCCCAATGATGTAAAGATGACGAGTACAGAAAACGGCTAAGGCCAACTCACACTCAGTCCCTGTGAGGCCGTAGTCGTATCGCGATGCGACTCTTAGTACCTCCCGAAGACAGAACTCTCTCCGACTCAGCAATAGCTGGCGTCTTGTTTTTGTGTTCTTTACGAGTAGAGGAGACCACCAAGTTTAGGAATTCTAGAACACGCTCTATCAACCCTTCAATTTTCCGAAAATTGAAAAATCGGTCAATTTTCCAGAAAATAGACGCGTCTAGCTATCACTAAGCAAGGACGCGCAAGCGCGAGAGAGAGAGAGAGACGCTGAAGCAAGGTGTACCCCCTAAGAAACATCTGATGAAAGCCGACGAAGCTACAGAAAATTGCGCTGCTCGGTTTTTTAGTCGGTCTCTGGCAGCTTGGTATTTCTGCTCTCGGTTGTGTGAAAGAGAACTGTGGGCCAGAACGTCACTGGTGCGGGAGAGAGAGAGACCTCCACTCCAAAAAACCGCGCTGCTTTTTGATAAGGCCGCCTGTTCCCCCGCTGCTTTTTTGAGTAGACATTTTTCGGCCGTCTTCCCTCTCATCTTTTTCTTCGCATCGAAGGACCACAGGCGTGTCTATTCATTGAAGACGCATCGAAGGTTCAGAAATGACTCGGAAAGTCCAAAACCTCACTGAGGATCTTTTACACTAAAACCAAACAGAAAACGAACTCAAAATAGAGACACGAAGGCGACGGCCCAGCTCTAGAATAGAATGCAAACAGGTCGCTCATCCTTAGAAGCTCCTTGTCCATCTCCTTACCAAGGCACTACAAAGAAGTAAATGCAGCGTGAGAAGATCTATCGCCAGAAATTTCGGCGTCTTGGTAGTTATCGACGGTGATGATAATGATGACGATCCCCTTTTCATCGCCAGAAATTTCGGCGCGTTGGTAGTGGTAGCTCGACGATGATGATAATGATGATGATCCCCTTTTCATCGCCAGAAGTTGCGGCGCGTTGGTAGTGATCGATGATGATGGTGATGATGTATGGCCCCTACTCAGCCGCGCGCTTGGTGGGGCTTAGGTATGGCCTATCTTATGGCTCGACGATTCCGCCGTCGACTAAGTCAATCTCAATACCCACACGACGCAGGAGCCTCGTCGTACTTTGGTGCTTTTCGCAGTTAATTATTTGTATATCTGTTCGCTGTCTCTTTTTGCGCTTGATTCAGCCCCTAGCAATGTTTATCCCTCCAGCCAGTGCAGACCATAATACTAGCTCATGATCGGTCGGCATCTGTTTGGTGGGATAGCTCAGGACTAAAGTAATGCCTTACTAGTCTGATGCTGAAGCTAGTATTGCGTAGGGTCTAAATCTGTTTGGTGTTTTATTTTCAACGAGGTCTATCTCTAGTAAGAACGTAGCGGTGTTTTATTTTCAACGAAGTCTATCCCCAGTAAGGTGGCTCCGCCAATATTATAAGTCATTGAGATAAAATGCTGGTGAGCCCGTCCGGCTTGAAGAAGCGTCGCGCGAACAACGACGCGCCGGAGCAGATTGCTGCGCAGCAGCCTGCAAACCCGCTCCTCGCGGCGTTCGCACCTTTGAAGCCACGCCCGCAGCAACTGGATGCTGCCACGAAGATGGCGCGCGCAATCGACGAAGGGTTCCACGTCGTGGCGCAGTTGCCAACGGGCATGGGAAAGACCGCGATCGGCCTCGCACTAAGCCGCAGCGTGCGCTGTGATGTGTCTGGTCGCGCTGCGATTGTGACGCGGACGCATGAGCAGGGGCGCAATATTTTAGCTGAGGCCAAGAAGATGGGCGTCCGCGCGATGGTCCGCACAGGTCGGCGCGAACTGTGCCTCGTTCCGGAGGTTGCGGCAAACGAGGACCCCAACCTAGCGTGCAGCAACAAGACCGCCGGGTTTGGCGGGTGCAGCTTCCACAAGAACCTTGACTGGGCCGACATCGAGGACATCACCCTCGGCGTCACTCGTTTCCGGGAGGAAGGACAGCGGCGAGCATCGTGTCCGTATTATGCCCATAAGCGGCTCACAAAGGTACTCGTTACATATATAGAAACTTACTTTGCCAAGTTGATTTCATTGAAAGCATGCTGATGAGCGGGGTCCCCTTGTAGGGCGATACACTGCTGACGTCCGTTCTATCTTCTTCAGCTTTTCGACCAAAGAACTCACCTTGATTCCATCTTGCTGTTTGTTTCGTAACCCGTCACGACTTGGCCATCCAATCTCTTACTTTACAGCGATATAGCGTGCTGGTCACCACGTTCCCGTATTGGTTGCAGCCGGGTTTAGAAAGTGCACGGCGTGAGCTCTTGAGCGGGACGAAGCTGGTCATCTTCGACGAGGCCCATAACGTTACGCTGATACTGAAACTGACGTGTTGAAGCTGATGCTGCTAAGCGCTGCGCTTCTCACTTCCCAGAAGAGGCAGATGCTGGCTAAGTATTCACATTGAGTTAAGTTATCTCCTTTCCGCGTCGATATATAAGTGAAAGCGCTAGGCTGTAACAGTAGCTGCTCCATCGTGGGCGCCGATTTCGTTTTCTAATATAATGCCGGGCGTTGTAACTGCTGCTGAAACCGCTTTCGCGCCTCATCCTCGCTACGTGCCGCTCTTGGAGATAGAAAAAGCACGACACCGCGACCGCCGGTGGCCGGTGGAGCTTCCCAGCGCGGTACGTACTTACATCATTAGCTTTCGTCAAATTTTTTAGCGTCGTTCTCTGGCTACAGCAAACACATGGCATGCTCGGAGTCGTTAGAAGTACTAGTGGCTTCGCTAAGTCAGAGTGTGCACCTGTTGTTTGTGAATACAGTGCGGGCATGACTTCCCAAACCATAACTCTGCAGGTCGTTGAAGAGCTGAAAAACCTCGAGGCAGACAGTTCGGCTCCGCATGCTTTTCGCCAAACGCTCAAAGCCCCAGGCGCAAAGGTTTATCTCATGTTATGACAGGCTATCCGGTAGGGCTTTGTTTATTTGATTCATTGAAAGGCTAGTGCGTCGCTTCGACTCGTGTAGTTTGTATGGCCTCGATATAGAGGGGGGCCACCAATCTCGCTAGTTTGACTAGGTAGCAAGGGCTCTTTGCTGCTTGCGCCCGTGGTTCTACTTCTGCGGGGTTTCTTGGCTAGCTTGCTTCGTCGATCTTCTTTTCTTTACAATTACTTCTAAAAACGCCGGCCAGCACCGGCGCGCCGTCTGCAGTGACGTCCGGAAGCAGTAGTGGCGGCAGTAGCTCTACTTCTAGTTCATCTAGCTCGGTGAGCCCAGCACAGTGGCCATCGGATAAGCTGACGGCAGTGAGTGGCGCATCCAGGTCCGCCATCTTCGGAGAGATCGCAAAGGCAGCCACGCTAGTGCTCATGTCTGGAACGATGTTCCCTGATGCGTTGACCCCGCCGATGGCCCAGGCTGAGGCGGTCCTCGGTTCAGATGTGAAGGGTGTTCGAGTTTTTAAACTCAAAGACGGGCCTGCGCGAGTCATGGTGGTCTGCAACGCGGTCTCGAGTCTGTCGCAGGTAGGTGCCGTAAGCCTCCTCCGCCGCAGTACATTCGACCCGAAGTTCGTCCTCAGTGAACACCGGATATACGTGGCTGAAGTGGTCCGCTTTTGTGTCCATCTTTGGAAGAAAACGCAGCGCACTGGACTGGTCGTCGTTGCTTGCGTCTCGTATGCGTCGGCAAAGGAGTTCGCGCAACAAGCGGAAGACCAGCTTCCCGACGTTCTGGTCGAAGGCCAAGGAGATCAACAGCCGAGCACCCCTGTTTCTGGGTTGTTCTTCGTCGTGCACAATGGGAAGTTCACTTAAGAGCGCAGGCTTCGCTTTTACTCTCTTCCGACTCCTTTTCTCTTTGGTTCTTTTTCTGGTAACTTTGCAAGTTTTAAAAATCTGTTTCGTATAAGATTTCTCAAAAATGGCCACGACTACTCTACGAGTGCACAAAAATGGCCACCACGAGCGTTTGGACCTAGGAGAAAAGTGGCCACCACTAAGCTCCGAGGGATCAGCCAAACACTTCTTGGAAATTGAGACTGTCGGGGGTAAGCTTTTTCGTCGGGCGCTCGACGAAAAAGCTTACCTCTGATAGTCTCAGAGTTTGCTTCGGATGCCAGACAAACACCTCCTGGAAATTGAGACTATCGATGGTAGACTTTTCCGTCGAGCGCTCGATGGAAAAGCTTCTTTGCCTCTGATAGTCCCAATTTCCAAGAAGTGTTTGCTTCGCATGCCAGCGAAACACTTCTAGGAAGTTGAGACTTTCGGGGGTGAGCTTTTTTGGCAAGCGCTCGACGCAAAAGCTTACTCACGATCGTCTTGATTATGATTTCCAGAGAGTGCTGAACTCGAGCATTCAAAACGATGGCCTGCCGTCTCTTTTCTTATGAAAAGTGGCGGGTCATTTTTTTGTAGAAAATGGCCGCTCATTTTTTTGCCAAATGCGAGTAAGAATTGACCGAAATGAAGTGCAACTTTGTTGGATTCTAGTCGCAGGATTGCAAATGGGTGCCCATTTGCAATCCTGCGACTAGAATCCAACAAAATTGCACTTCATTTCGGTCAATTCTTACTTGCATTTTACAAAAAAATGACCGGTCGTCTTTCATGAAAAACGGCTGGTCTTCACCTTTTTGCTCGAGGCCAACACTCCCTGGGAATCAAGACTATCGGGGACAAGCTCTTTTATTGAGCTGTCGATAAAAATAAATAAGCTTGCCCCCGACCGTCTCAAGTTCCAAGAAATGCTTCCAGAGGAAGTTGATTTTTTTTTTGAGTATTTCGGGGAGGGTATGCAAATTATGAGGATTTTGCCTACCCTCCCCGAAGTACTCAAAAAAAAAAGCCAAACGTTTGCTGAGCGCTTTTCTCCATGGGAGCCGGCAATGGCCTCAAGGAGGTCGAAAGCCCGGCCTTCGTGGTGTTTTGATGTTAAACTTTTATAAGACACTCACTCTAACTTCTGGAGGGGAGCAACAGACTAGCGTCGGCGGAGCATTTCGTGATGGCTGGCTGTCCGTATCCGCCGCCATCTGGGCAACGACCTTGGGACGGCGAGCAATCCGAGGCCACGATGATAAGGTCGACGCGTCAATTCGTTGGGCGGGCGTACCGAGGATCAGGAGAGGCGCGAACGGTGTGGCTCTTAGACCCGCGCTTCGCGCTCATGAAGTGGAAAATCGGACCAGAGTGGGACTGGACTATCTGCGCCACCACTGTCGAAGCTTTTCAGAAATATGGAGTCACGGCGCAGGCGGCTGCGAGCAGCAGCGTGGGCGAAGTTTTCTGAGAAGATGGCCTTAGAGCTTTGCGAAGTCAGAGCTTTAATTGCAAATCGCTCGACGCGAGAAGGTGGCTCGTGTCGATGTATAACCTGACGAGAGTAAAACTCTCTGAGATTGCACGCAAGCCCCTCCACATTGTCACCCCCACCCTTCCTTTGCAAACTTTCCCCTGATGATGTGACTGCATCGCGCAACGCATGGATGCGCGGGGTCAGCTGGTGGCGTGGTCGTCTGATTTTGTTTGATGGCGCACGCTTCTGGTTTTTTAGCGATGGCTGAAGTTCTGAGAGGCTTCGACCTTATTGATTGGTTAGCCGCTCTCCGATGCTTTTCGTCTTGGTTACTCACTAGGCCCATCATTCACATACAAGCGCAAACAGGACTAGAGTGTGAGCTTTTTAAGTTTATAGAACTGCTCCTTTCTCGATCGTTCAGCTTGAAATACTTCTTCCGCGATTTTTATAGACATGGTTCGTTCTTGGCGCGTGCTTCTTATTGTTGTTGTTTCTTCTCTCTTCCTTCGTGCGTAGGAAAAAATGGACGACCATAATTTTAGAGCCGCTGTTCGGCAGACGTGGGACTCGAGGCCCGAACTCCGTGGGAAAAAGGCAACTCTCAAATGGGATGGCTTGTCGACGAAGCGGGGGATTCATGTCTCAATCCCTTCAAAGCGTGAGAACATTGGGAAAATGGCGAACCCTGATCCGGTTCATCGGGAACAAAGGAAGCCGACAAAAACCACCGCGGCCGAGGCGGTGAGTCTCTTAATAAAGAAGTGCCCGGCGCTCGTCGCTCCTGTGTCTAAGAGTAGCACGGCCGGAAACGAGCGCGACGCGGAAACACAAAAGGGAAACGCGGAGACGCTCGATCCCATGGGCCGCGAGAGTGCAATATGCAGCAGCAGCAGCAGCAGCAGGGATTTGGTGGACACATTAGGCGGAGCTGCGCGCTCTCGCCACCTCTACCAAGGCGCTGAATCTGAAAGACGCAGCGCTGGCGCCCTTCTTGATGAGGGTAGTGGCGAAGAAGGAGATCTAGTCTTGCCTGCGTGCGCCGCCTCTCCGGGGAGTGGTCAACTTATGGAAATCATTAGGAAGCTTGCCTACGCTGTAGTTGTGCGCCCTCTGTCTTTTCATTGGTAGGCTATATCAAAATCAAACGTCGGGCACAGACGCGCGCCCAACATTAAGGTCTGTGAGCAAGCTTCTCTAGTTTTAATATAACTTCTTCGGCAGTAAGCGCGCAGGAGCGCGCCGCAGAAATGAGCTCGGCTGCAGTGGCCAAAGGCGCATCACTACCGGCACCCGCAGCATCTAGTAGTAGTAGTAGCAAAGCATCTTCGTCGGCACCCGCTCCCGCAGCATCTAGTAGTGGCGATGAAGAATCTTCTTCGGCACCCGCTCCCGCAGCATCTAGTAGTGGCGATGGAGAATCTTCTTCGGCACCCGCTCCCGCAGCATCTAGTAGTAGCGAAGCACCTCCTTCGGCACCCGCTCCCGCAGCATCTAGTAGTAGCGAAGCACCTCCTTCGGCACCGGCTCCCGCAGCATCTAGTAGTAGCGAAGCATCTTCTTCGGCACCCGCTCCCGCAGCTTCTAGTAGTAGCAAAGAATCTTACACGGCACCCGCCGCATCTATTGGTAGCAAAGAATCGCCTGCAGCATCTCCTTCGTCGCCATCTTCTTCAACGTCTTCTCCTGCATTTTCTTCAACATCTTCAAAGACGCTCGCAGGACCAAGCGCTGACGCAGAGCACGAACTACAGCACGACGCACAGCTGGGACTGTGCATCTTCGAGGATGAGGAGGAGGAGATCGAGCCGCATCTCCGACAGCATGAACCTTTCGGCAGTGGTGACGCTGAGGCCACTGAGACGGACAGCGCTGGCGGGTTTCTGTTGGCAGGTCTGACCTCTGATGAGGAAACGACGGCGGAGCATGCGCCTCTGGACATGCTTCAGGCGCTGGTCCAGCCAGTTCGCAGCATGTCGCGCATGGGACTGGTGGAAATGAACTACCGCGAGGAGGCTTTCCTTTTTCAAGTGCATGAGCTACAGTACCCAGATGCCGGCAGCGGCCGGGATGAAAGGGAGCTGCATGTTTTAAGGCTTTGGTGTAGTCAGGTGCTGGCTTGTGTTGTAGTGAATAAATATAGGCAAGGAAGCGAGCACCGCACTCGTAATTCGTGCCCTCAATCTAAGTGCCACGAGTCGGCCCTTGCCCTCGCGGAGTGTCTTTTTTGTTTTGTTTCTTTACTATCTAGTCACGATTGAGTCGTAATGAAAGAATAAGACGCCAGGCAGCTACTGAGAATTAGTCTGGGCGCTTCTGCGACTCTTAAGTAACTGCTTTGGCCCCGGCCTTCCGCTTTCAATGGTTTTTGCATCAAGAGACTACTTCCTTAGCTCTAACTTTGGCGGCAGTTAAGATCGAGTTTGCAGCGGTGCCGAATCTGGAGAAGACTTTGAAAGACGTACCCAGCCTAGAGTGCGTCACCGTTCGAGGCATCGGCCCGGACTTGCTAGAGTCGTCTGGCTTTCACCTAAGTGATTACTTCATTGGGCTATTCGGAGGGAGAGGAGCACTTGGACCAGAGTGGAACTTGATCGCCGTCTTGCATGATGGCCCTGACCGGTCACACTCCTACACAGCAAAGCAAAGCAACCGCCTCGCACAAATAGGCGTCCAAGCGTTGTGCAGGAGAAAACCAGAAATGGCCACGGCGCTCGCGACTGGTGGCGAGGATGAGGTCGATGAGGTTGGTCAGATCGACAAGGCTGCGGACGCTGCAGCGATCAAAAGGCTACTGCGTGACAAGTGGCTAGAACAGCGAGCCAAGTACATGTCGCGACTGGGCCCCGAAAAGGCCGCGGAAGTTGAGCAGGTTCCACTAGTTTGCTTTTTGTTCTTCTATTCTTGAGTGTCGTAGGTCGGGCCTATCATTATTTAAAGCAGACGCCTCGGGGCTTATGAGAGTCGTGGCTATTTATTATTCGCGTGACCATGAACGCAGGATCACTAATTTCGTGGCTGCCGGTTGTCATGCTTCCAGCAAGCGGCTGGCCTTCTCTTATCTATCACACACCCACAAAGAAACAAATACGGCGCCCCCTTTCAGGTTTTCCCGACAATGCCCTTCGCTGCGGAAGCTGCTGCGCCAGCTTGGGTCTCTGTCGCTGTGGCGTGTGGTTTTTTTGAACGCTTTGCGCATGATTCTTCGCCGGTTCCTGAAGTTCTTCATGCTTCGCGCTCAATGTGGACGCGTGTCCCGTCTGGTCAGTATTCGCTAGGGCTCCGCACGTTGAAAGCCTTGGGTGAGAATACATATGAGCAAGCGTATGCTGAGAGGACGCGCGTGACAGTTTACAACCCATGCCCTGAACTTTGTAACCTACGATGCCAGGAATGTGGTTTGCGTGTAACCCGAAAGGGCGTCTTGGAAAAGGGCCCGAGGCGGTGCATTGAGGCGACTGGGATCTCGTATCACGTCGGCTTCCGGTATTGTTTTCGATTGTTTTCCTCTTTGCTCATTATTAATTTTGGGAACTAACATCTGCAAGGAAGCGCAAAACTGTTTTTTTTTGGGGAGCTCTGGCTCTGTTCTTTGTTATCCAATGCATTGCAATGCCCAGGTATGTCCACAACTGTCCCAAGCACGCTGGGCGGCTACGTTTTCAGAGGCTCGAGCGGCTTCTTGGTGGTGAGAGGCAGCCATTTGTTCGAAGTGTTGCTGGCAACATGTTGTTCGCGGCTGATTTAACGAAATCTATCAACAGACGGGAGGCATCTTTCGCAGGGGAGCACACCATGCTGCGAACCCGAGCAAAGGCAACGCACTCTGCGATCGTTGAGGTGATCGAAGGGCAGCGTGCACTGGCATCACTGCAGTCCAAAAACGAGAGAGCCCTGGACGAATTTTTTGGACTTTTCGGAAAGGGAGGGGACGCCGTCGCGCCATTAGAAACCTCGCTCACCTCGGACCCGCGTGATTTCGTTCATGTGCCTTCTGCGGAATGTATCCGCAACCACGTTGTCTATGACTTCAGTCTGGTCGAGGATTTCATCAGTTTGACATTCCTTCGCAGTCTCTCTGAGGCGGAGTCGCTGCGTGGCGACCACACTTTTATGGAAGGGAGATTAGTTAGTTATAGGACATATCTCAACTTTCTTACTTTAAGCAGCCGCTTTAACTCCACATCGAAACGATGATCCCCGATGACGTAGGAGACTGGGCTAATATTTCATACTCTTAAGATAGGGCTGCCTCTATCTCTAATAAGTCCTAGGTAAGCGCCATTATTGGTAGTCAAGTAGCGCACGCTTCTGGCTGTGTGAGTCTTGGCCCCTTGCTGGTGTTGCTTGATGGGTAAAAAGAGGCTTACATACTTCTTTGAGGTGTTTAGTAAGTATCTATTGGCATTGCCTTGGCGCACGCACATTTTGCCGTAGCTCTAATTTTCGGCCTACTGGGAACGCGTGCATTCATACGACAGCGTCGCAGACGGGTGAGGTTGTGGACGTGGCGAGCTGTGTAACCAAGTCTTTCGCTGATTATGGAGGATGTAGGTGCAATTTAGCCGATGCTGCTCCTTGGTTAACTCTGAGTAAGGGAATTAAGTATGTAGAGCTCGTTCTCGGTGAGGGTCTAATTACCTATCCAAAAGGAGGAATTCTGCGGCCTCTTCTCTGTGCCCCCCGAAAAACTTGGGAGGGGGGCCCCGTTCGCTGCCTCTCTAATTTTAGCTGCGTGACCACTTCAAGAAAGTCGACGAAGCGCGTGAGGCGCAGAAGCTCCCAAAGCCGAAGATCAGGCGCGTCTGGCTAGATGGCACAGCGTGCTGCACGGGGAAACGACGAGCGCCAGGCGCACCAAGAAAGACAGTTGCTACGAGAGAAGCCGTTGCAGCTTATGCAACATTGTCAGAGGTGGAGCCTGAGATCTTCGCAGATGACTGGCATATTCTTCTCGCAGTGGCAGGCCTGCTGGCTTCGGCCGGCGGCGTCCGCGGGGCGGTTTTGCGATTATGGCCTAGTAAATACTTACTTTTAGCTTTGGTCTTCCTAGGTCTACTTCGTCGCTCGTCATAGTCACTCCAGTCCAGGGGGGTTGCCGGTTCGTTTGTGGTGCAGCCCCGTCTTTTTTTAATCGCTACGTGTGTGCCAAAGAATCCTAAATCTTCTACGTATAATCTACGCTTCTCATCTGTTCCCGATTTCTAATTTTGGAGCTATCTGCAGCGATACGGCCACTCGACATGTCGTGGATGAAGTTGCTGGTGCATCATCTGATGGAAAAATATGGCACAGCTGCCGAAGCGATGAAGCACCTGACGTCGCGACTAATCTCCAGGCATGTGCCAAGGTTGCCCATCACAGTAGCAGAGCAAATATTAAACTACGAAAGCTGGCTCAGTCGAGCGCTTGGAGAATTCTGGGAGAAGCGGGTCTGGAAGCTGGCAAAAAACGCAGCAGCGGAAGCTGAAGGAAAAGACGCGGCAGTGGCTGCCCAAATAGAGCGCGACGCGAAGGAACAACTGAAGAAGGAGCTGGAGACAAAAATTGGAGTTCATGTCTACAATGGGTGCCTGAATTGCCCGGAGGAGCGAATATTTTTCGAGGCGGAGACCTTGGAAGAGTCTGGGCGCCAAGTAAACGAGCAGCAGCGCCGTTGCCCAGATGTCGACGTTGTCTCAGCTGACCCAGGAGAGGTTGTCGACATAGGACAGCACGCTTTCGGGGCCGCTGTGGTGCCAGCAGGATCGAAAAAACTACCCGTCGTCTTGAAAGAGGGCCGCACTACGTACCTCGAGTCCATTCACAACCGGTATGACCATCACAGCAGATGGCACCAAGGACTGAACGAGGAGACCCGACATGCTACGATCATGAGGGCCTGCTTCGAAATATCGGAGAGCCGCAGAGTACGCCTCAGCCGTGGAGCGCATAAGAAGCGGGCCTTCGAGGAGTTGCCTCTTGGCTCACCTGGTACGCTACGACTTCACGGGAAATATGCCTTGCCGCAGCTAACGAGCTTCGCGAGACAACGGTGGAGAGATTGGAACTTCGCCATTCTTTTTAGCATGCAAGTTCTAGCGCAAGGAGGAGCGTCACCTCGTGAAATTGCAAACATCATGACGCTGAATGAGCGCGAAGTCTTAAGGTGGGCCCGAGAGCGCCAGCGTATGGAAGAAATAGTGGAAGCCACTGGATCGACCCACAGGGGGTGGCTCACGCTTCAGCAGGAACAGGAGGTGATTGACCACCTCAAGAAGTCGACTTGGGTGCAGCTTAACTGGGACGCATGCCGCGCGAGCACTCTCGACTACAAGCCTCATGCTAATCCTGGCGCCGGTGCTGCAGTTGCAGGCGGCAATAAAAGAGTCCCAGAGGCTCTCTCCCTCGACGCTGATCAGGAGAACGCGAAGCGAAGACGAATTGTCCAAGAGGTGCAAGAGCGGCGTGCTGAGACTGCACGGCAGAAGCAGGCGGATGTGGATGCGAAGCAGACCGCTGCCTATGAGGCGTATGTCAAGGATTTCGTTGAACGCAACACAAAAATCAAATAAGAAGGCTATGACTCTCGTGCCGCGAAATACACGTGGAAAGCGCAGAACGAGGAGGAGTGCAAGAAGCTGGGGCTGAGCTTGTGCCCGGTCTGTTACGGTTTCCAGTCACGGACCGAAAAGACACTACACAAGAACGATAGTGCTAATTGTGTCGCCAATAAGTTCGTCACGATAAAAGACAAGGGCGGCGCGCGTCCCATGAAGAAGAAGGTTTGAGGTTTTTCTGAAGGCCTTTCGCCTATGTATTGCTAGCTTGTAACTCAATTGGCATGGGCACACTTCTCAGGAACCAACTCGGTCAAGACCCTTCCCCAACGACGTGATGCATATGATCTATTTCTTATCTTTAGATGTGGCCCTCCCCCTCTCAAGCCGGACGAAATAGCTTTCCATCCCAGTGCGCTACCCTTGTGTCCCGAATAGAGTCCCCTAATTTTCAAGAAATTGCGTCGAGTTGCTTACTTGTTTTGCCAGGCATTCAAAGCGCAGGGTGCTGCTATAAGATAGAAGCATGCTGTTGTTGACGAGAGAAGGAACGAGAATTCTGGGTTGACGAGAGAAGCAATGAGCACGTTGCCGAGAGATGCGGCATTCTGAAGAGAGAAGCAGACGCGTTGCCTCAGTAGTACAATTTATCAATTTTCCAAACAGCAAGAGGCGACGTTCAATTTTCCAGAAAATAGACGGAAATTCGAAGTGTTTCGGGAAAGTCTTTAAATTTATCTCTCTATTTTCTGTCTTATTGATCTGTGATTCTTTCGTGTCCTCCAACTCCGCGCAAAACACCTATGGAAGAGCTTTCAATTTTCTAATTTCCAATTTTCCAATTTCTGAAGTGTTCTCTTCTCTTTTTGTTAGATCGTCGAGTGAGCTGCATGTGAACGTTTTGGGGTGAGGTTCCACTTCCTGATCGCGATCCGAGTGTTTATCATGAAAGAAAAACTCCTGTTCTGTATTCAAACCGTTTGCAGAAGTTGTTGTGTCGCCATGAAGAGTGATTCTCTCTAAGATGCTCTGTTTCTCAGATTGAGTGAGACTACAGGTATCTGTTAAGCGATGCTAGTTTCTCAGATTGAGTGAGACTACAGGTATCTGTTAAGCGATGCTAGTTTCTCAGATTGAGCGAGACTACAGGTATCTGTTAAGCGATGCTAGAAATGCGGAAGAGCGTAGTCTCAGAGGGAGAAAGATGGACATGAAGATTCTCATTTTCACTATTATTTCTCGACCACCACAGGCTCTCTAAGGCATGATATGGCATGTGCCCCAAAGGTAGCCCCTTATCACGACGTCGTTTTCCCCTTCGTGGGGAACCTCGTTGAGTCGGCTATCTTATGCCTCGAACAGTTTTGATGTTCTAGTTTACTTTAGACTATGTTATTCTATGGGTTTACTGATACTACAACTCCTTTTTGGAGAAATGAAGTGACGAGTTCTAGTTGTAGGTACCTCCCACCTATATTCTGGTTACATTATTTGTACTGACAAAGTGAAAAAGGATAAATTTGCGCTAAACTAAAGTCGTAGAAACGAAATGATGTGTACTACTATGAATGTCTTATTTCATACGAATGGTGTAGTCGAGGGGTTGTTTCCTGTATGTCTGTCATCATCCACACGTTGTTGAAGCTTCATGTGATTAGAAGATATTCGGGTTTTGCTATTACGCTCGCTGACCTCTTGCATGTCTATCCTATGATACCGAGCGAAGGTCTTATTCGGGCCATGTTCTTAAAAAGATTTTACAACTGGTCTTTTGATTTTGCTCATCATTTAGACAACAGACGCTGCATTGTATTTTATGTTGTGAGCAGAACAAGATAAGCATCTTATGATTTTCTTCTATATTGTGTTTTTTGATACTAGTTGTACCTGAACAAATGTCGCTCGGCGCTATGTCATCTGCGTCACTCGGAAAGGCTCCCGCAAAGCGGAAGTCAGGTCTTAGCGTGCGAAGCAGCCCTCTACGAGGGCTAACGGGGGAAGCCAAGGAAAAGAAACTCCGGGAACTCAAGGATGCGGAAGGTGCTCTCGATACTTCTGCCGCGTTGGCTCAGATCAGCGCACCCCCGCCAAGGACGCCAGTATCCTCCAAAGCGAAGCTGGCCTTGACTGCTGGGACATCAGATATAGTAAGAGGAGATCCAAGTTTGGGGTCATCCTTCTCTGGAACTACGAATAATGGACAAGAACTATCTCAGCAGCATAGTATAGAGTTAGAGCAGCAAGAAGAACCTCAACAGCCCTGGCGTCCAAAGAAGCGTGGATCTGGACGTGCGTCTCTAGCGGATGCGAAGCTGAAGATCGAGAAATCAAGTGCCGTAGAGGAAGTGGTTTTTAAACCGGTGCCAAGACTCTTCGCTGATGCCCATGAGAAGAAGCTTTTCGCCTCTGCGGCAGACGTGAAAAGACTGGGCTTCACGTTCAAGGGCTGCGTGATTAATACGGTGAAGGAGAACGGGTGGGCTTGGAATCAAGGTGTGCGCGTTGATGACGAGATCATTCGAGTACAATGTGCAGACCCTGATGATCCTATCACGGAAGTTTGGAAGCCTTCCTCTTTGTCTGGGAAGAACAGACTACTGGGTGCTGGAAAGAAGAAGGGGAACAAAGAGAATCCATATGCTATCGTTGATGAACTGGCTGCAGCAAGAGGAAATGCAGCGGATCAACAGCCTCCACCTGGGGGTGTCGGAGTGGCAGATGTAAATACGAAGGGTAGTATTCAAGGTGCGGCGCAAGACAGCTATCCAAAATTGAAAAATGGCATGTCTTCAGGAACCACAGGAACAACCAGGACTACAAATGGTAGTATAGAAGAGGCTACGCAAATAGTCCCTTTCCAGACTACACCAGGTTTTACCCCAGATGGCGATATCACGTTCACGGACTTTGCCGACCTTACTATGGCGCAAAAAGTTGCTAGTCTCAAACGCAAAGGTGATTCTGGTGTTTGGTTCGTGGTGATTCGCAAAACCCAGGGCCAAGATGTGCACCGCTTTGCTTCGCGCGTGCAGGCTGTTTTTCGGGGAAAGCAGGAACGAAGAAATTTGGGCAACATTGTGCAAGAAAAGATTGGACAGGCGTATGCGAAGCGAATGGGACCTATCTACGCTGCGGCAGCGAAGTTTCGGTTTACGCAGGCGGTGAAGAGGATTCAGGCCAATTTTCGAAACAAAAAAGCGTACGAGCTAGAAGAGCAGGACAGGCAAGAGAGGAGAGAGTTCTTCGTGCAGCGCTTTCAGGAACGAAGGGCGGCTGGGATCATTGGCGGCCGCTTTCTCGCGAAGTTGCAGCGGAGAAGGGCATACGAGCAGAGCTCGGAACATGCACATTTCCTGCGTGAGAACAACGCAGCAAGAACGATACAGCGGGCGCAGCGGGGGAAGATAGAGTATCGAGACTACCAGGGGCGGCTAAGTAGGAGTCAAGACCTGCGTGGAAACAACGCAGCAAGAACGATACAACGAGCGCAGCGGGAAAAGATGGAGTATCGAATAGAGCACCAGAGGCGCCTAAGCAGGAGTCAAGATCTGCGTGAAAACAACGCGGCGAGAACAATACAAAGGGCCCAGCGCGATAAGATGGAGTACCGAGATTCCCAGGGCCGTTTGAGTAGGAGTCAAGATCTGCGTGAAAACAACGCGGCGAGAACAATACAAAGGGCGCAGCGCGATAAGATGGAGCATCGAGATTATCAGGGGCGTTTAAGCAGGAGTCAAGATCTGCGTGAAAACAACGCGGCGAGAACAATACAAAGGGCGCAGCGCGATAAGATGGAGTATCGAGATTACCAGGGGCGTTTAAGCAGAAGTCAAGACCTGCGTGAAAACAACGCGGCGAGAACAATACAAAGGGCGCAGCGCGATAAGATGGGGCGCCGCGAGTATCAGGGGCGGCTAAGTAGGTGCCAAGATTTGCGTGAAAACAACGCGGCGAGAACAATACAAAGGGCGCAGCGCGATAAGATGGGGCATCGAGATTACCAGGGGCGTTTAAGCAGGGGTCAAGACCTGCGTGAAAACAACGCGGCGAGAACAATACAAAGGGCGCAGCGCGATAAGATGGGGCATCGAGATTACCAGGGGCGGCTAAGTAGGAGTCAAGATCTGCGTGAAGACAACGCGGCGAGAACAATACAAAGGGCGCAGCGGGGTAAGATGGAGTATCGAGAGTATCAGGGGCGGCTAAGTAGGAGTCAAGATCTGCGTGAAAACAACGCGGCGAGAACAATACAAAGGGCACAGCGGGATAAGCAAGACATGGCGCAACGACGAAAAAAGGCAGAGGAGCTAAGGCAAAACAGCGCCGCACGCTGTATTCAACGAGCACAGCGAGAGAAAGTGGGCTACAGTAGTACACCTGGCGAACCACGACCACTAGGTCTTTCCGCAGAGGGAGAAGTAGTAGGTACAGGAGACCGACAGGAAGACGCCTATGAACAAGGAGACGAGCAGTACAACCTGCAGCAAGTGCAAGCCCCTGAAACAGGCACCATCATCGACACTTATGAGAATGCAGAGGCCCTAGCACGTCGTGCACAGCGAGAGCAGGCCCAACTCGAAGTTCAGGCCATGCGTTTGAGAAGAGCTCCTAGTATCAGAATGTTTCCAGCGTGGTCAGCGAAAGTTCCTATGCTGCTCGAAGACGATGCGCCTTTTTTGCGTGGACCCCCTCTGAGTGCGAAAGGCGAACAGAAACGGGAAGCAATGCTGAAAGCTAGGCAAAGTATGAACGCTTCCGGAGGAGATGGCGCCGTTTTAGGTGAGAAGAGTGAAGAAGAGGCGGCAAAAGCCGAAGAAGAGGCGAGGAGAAGAGAAGAAGAGGAACGCGCCGGTGCACCAAAACGGAAACGAACTAAATTCTTTTGCTGTGCAGGCGGATGATTACCAGGTGTTAGACCCAGCTCGCGACTTGCCATCCACCATTGTCCTCGCACTCCCGGCCCTGCGACTCCTAAGACTCCACGAAAAGATCTGGTGTTTCACCAGAATGCCCATGCACCCCCTGCTCTGCCCCCGTACATTACGACTCCCTTTGAATATGTAGGTGCATTAGTTCTGCAGCAGCTCCGCATCAGGAAGTAGATGAGGATGAAGCTTGCTACCGACATTGTGCAAAGCCGGTTTCGACATGCTACTTTTGAATTCTTCATAGTACTAGAAGTACCACCTCCTCGGATTTTAGCAGCCTCCTCTTCGCACACTCCTTCTTCACGGCCCTCACGGTAATTGATATTACGTTAGTTGCTGTCGCGTTACAGATAAGAACTGCAAGATGGTGAGCAAAAGAAAGTCTACTAGAAGAGATCTTTGATTGTGGCTTTGCTAATTAATTGACTCTCAAAGTGTACTAGAAAAGGTTTTTCATTGTGTTGACATTGTAGAGTAAAGAACCTGTTAATAAATGATGAAACCCCGGTTAAGTAGAACGGCTCACTTTTACGTCCTCAAGCTTGGACTTTTTTTGTGAAGCGTGTTAAATTAGCAGCTCTTGTAGGAAGAAGTACAGCTCCGTAAGAGACCACCACTCTTAAGAAATATGATAATGATTCGCAGCTCGTTTAAGGAATCCCCGAAAACGAAAATCTTGAAAAGACTTGGGTGTTTAGTCCATCCCCGAAAACGAAAATCTTGGGTGTTCAGACAACTGCCAGTAGAAAATCTGTGTGTAAGCCACTAATGAAATGTCGGCTTTAAAAGCAGCATTGGATGAAAATTGCGCTACGTCAATCGATCCGTCAATCAGAGTCGGTGAAGTCGAAATGGGTCATGTACCGGGTCATCGGGTTACGTACGTCATCGGAAGCTGTACCGCCGTTGCTACAGTCTAAAATCTATTCGGTCCTGGGAGATGAATACCGCGACTGGTCCGATTTGTCAAAATCTAGTCGAGATGAATATTGACAAATCGGACCAGTCGCGGCTGTATAACTACGAGATGTCGGCACGAGTGAGAGTTGTGAGTGCTAAGGTGTAACCTATGGTGGCTCGGAGCACATCGTGTTGTCGAAGAGCTATCGAAGTGATCGAAAAAGCGAGGTACCCGATTTCCGAGAATGGAGAAGGAAGTACCCGCACTTCCCGTGAGAAACAACCCGATTTTTTCTTCCCGCCCTTGTTTGCATGACACAAGGTTACACACTTAGAATTCTTTCAATTTGAATTTCTTGTCGTTTCTGTGTCTTACCGTGGAAAATCCCTCGCCATCGTGAGTACCTACACCTTCTCGATGATACAGGGCTGTTAGTGTGGACTTATCTCAACTGCATGTTTGGCTGTTTATATGAATTCGTCGTGTTGTCAGTCATCCCTCGATCTCATTACTTACGTCATCAAAAACAAAAACTTCGTTGTGTAATGGTATATGAAAAGCAATGAAGTGCTGCTGAGCGGCTTGCCATGATACGTCGACAATAGCATGGCAGAGTCGCACTGCAGCAGTTCGCGAAAAACTGAAGATTCTCGTAAAAATGGGCGTGCAGAATCTCGGAGCGGTTGCCTGCTTAGTCGGTTCACGAGACCAGTATGGAGAATCGCATCTCCTGCGATCAGGAGAAGATGAGTGAAACATGACGCAGAGGAACTAACGGAACTAACAGCCGTGCTTGGTCTTGCCGAGTGGAGACTATCTCCTTCTCGACCAGAACAACAATAAGACCATGGGGCTTTTTATAGGGCGAATGGAAGAGCGGCGCGCCGCCGATGCGGCGGCGATGGCCAGAATGATCGAATACCTTGATTCCGACAATTGTCCCGAATACTTGACCATGGCTCATAAAATCTCTATGGGATTAGGCGAACAAAAAGAGGAGGAAGAAGATGAGTACAATAAAAATGTATTGCTCCTTATTTTCGTAGTTCTAGTTCGGAGGTCGTTCGGAACCCTATTCGCAAAATCTTTTTCCTTTTCGTACTAGTTTTACTATCGCCAGTGTACCACAACCAAAGTAGCTGTTGATGTCACTAAAGTAGCTGTTGACGTCACTGCAGCAAAAATAGATTCGTATTCCTCTATTTTCACACAGGGAAGTCGAGGAAGACGACACAGCGAAGAATTATCAGCTGGAAATGGCAGGGTTTGACTTGGATGACGGAGAAGAGTCAGAGGAAGAAGAATTTGTCAAGGACTTGGATGCGGATACGACGTTACGAAGAAGGATGAATTATATCATGAATATGTAGACTTTTTAGATACTTATGCTAGATGGAGGACCTAGTTATCATGAGTATACCTTTATACCTTTTTCCATCTTTCCTAGGTAGGTTGGCTCCACCACAAATATGTAGACTTAACTTTACTTATGCTAGATAGAGGACCTTGATGTAGCAGACGCTTGTGAATTGAGGTCAAAGTCACAAAGGAGCTGCTTCCTCGTGATCTTCTTTTTTTCCGGAGTAAAAAGCTCCATCTTCATCCAAAATCTTTGAATCTCCTTTCCAAGAGTTCTTGTTGTTCACCTTGCTGCCCTCTAATTTCCAAGCCCATGGACGATGAGGGTGGGGAGCGACAGGATTATCCTTTGCACGACGCCTGCTCGACAAACAGTTACTACAAAGTCGTCCACTGTTTGAGAAATACACGTGTCTCGATCGAATTAATAAACCAAGACGGGAAGACGGCGCTCTACATATGCTGCGAACTGGGAAATCCGTTGACAGTGGGACTGCTGTTGCAATCTGGTATGCTATAACATAAAGAGTAGAGTCTAGTCAAAATTTTGATTTTCAGTAGAAGTGGCACATCATAGAGTAGAGTCTAGTAAGTTTTTTTAACTAGAAGTGGCTCTTTCTTAGAGTTTGGTTGCTTTTTGTACTAGGATTCCCTGAATCCGTGACAATGAGTATCTATCGATCATGAAGTCCGTCAAGGAGCAGTGACTCTTGACGGAACCCTTTTTACCACTGCAGGTGCCAAGACGTACCATAAGACAGCTTTTGGTTGGGTCCCGATGCACATAGCGTGTTTTGGCGGACACACGCGCGTAGTGGAGATGCTAGTGGAGAAAAACGCCGCGACAAACCCCCGTGACAATCACGGCGTGACGCCTTTGATGTTGATTGCCTCGTCTTTTCGGTTATATCGGGATGACTTTATGACCCGTTTCGATCGAACAGCACGCGAAAGGGCAAAATCCCGCTATTTCGACTACGAGGCGCAGAACAGGTTGTTGCAGACCTACGGACCAAAGATGGACCCTGTGCGGACTTTGGACGTGCTTTGCTTATGGCTGAGCAGCTTTCGTCATGCTTTTGATTCGAATGATGCTGGTTTATCCTAAAATTCTCGCTAGTAGTGCAGCTTTCGTCAGGCTTTTGATTCGAATGATACTTGTTTATCCTAAAATTCTTGCTAGTAGTGCAGCTTTCGGTTCCCCATGTTGTTAGGTACATTATCTTCTAATCTCCAAGCTGCGCCAGGGCTACGATGTGTACGAGGAATTTGAGCGGGCAAGAGTACTGACCTTCTGGGAAAAGCGCCAGGGCGTCCCTGCAGTGGAACTGGTAAGGCGGAGACTTAATTACGCTGAAGAGAAGCAAAAAGCCTCGGAAGGAGCGGCACGGTACTGGGAATACTCACAGCACCACGTCGAACTGATTCTCGTGCGGTCGCTAGAGGGGAGAGGTATTTCTGCTAGAAGGAGGGTCTAGGCAGTTTACTTATTCGGAATGCCAAGTATATTTCAGTTGCAGGCCTAGCAATATTCTGAATGACAATCATCTTGACAACAACAAACAGTGAACCCTCTCAGGTGTAAACAAACTGGATCCGAACGTAGCTGACCGAAAAGGCCGCACTGCCTTGATGTATTGCGCAGCCGATGGGTATATGAATATCATGTCTCGCCTGATCGCGCTTCGTGCGCAGATAGATCGAAAAGACAACACTGGGCAGACCGCCCTCTTCGGCGCCTGCAAGCGTGGACAGGTGAAATCGCTTTCGATGCTGCTCTGTGCTGGCGCGAAAGTAGAAGTCCACGACGCTTTCTTCACTTTCCCTCTTCATGTTGTGGTGGAGAAGGGGTACGAGCAGATGGCTAACCAGCTGATTCGAATGGGGGCTAGTGTGAACGTGTACGACAGTGTCGGCAGATCGCCGCTCATGTTCGCGATGGACACACAGTTATGCCTTATGCCTATCTTCGCGTATAACTTCTTCATAATGTAGTTGGCACAACTTACTAGACGTTCTTTTTTACATGCGACATCGAAGACCTGTAGTAGTCAGACTGTTTCTCTAATCCGGAATGCGAAAATGGTGCGGCAGATCCTGGAGGAAAAGCCTGAGCTAGACGTGGTTGACGGTCGAGGGTGGAATATTTTCATCTATGCAGTGCAGACCGACTTGCTCAAAGAGCTCGGAGATATTCTCCTGCATTTTGGCGACGAGATCCGCAACGTAACCGGCTGGAAGGATCCCCAAGGCAGTTGCGCCTTGATCCACGCAGTGACTCGAGGAAACTTCCACGATGTGGAGTTGCTGACAAGGATCTTGCCCAATGTGACACAAGGAGATTGCAACGGGAATAATTCTCTGCACCTGGCTTGTCAAGAGGGGAATGGGCAGATCCTGAAGCACTTGTTGGAGTTTATCTTCAACGACACAGTGGCATACGTGGTGGAAGAGGTGAATCCGGAGTTGATCGCAAGAAGGGAAATGTTAGATTAAGGCAGGAGTAGATTACTAATGAAGCTTGTTGTCGGAGATGAGTGGTTAGAAGAGGAATGAGTTTCTTACTGTAGGGTAAATGCAGGAGTTTCTTAATGTAGCTTGTTGTAGGAGGTTCTTATTGTAGGGTAAATGCAGGAGTTTCTTAATGTAGCTTGTTGTCGGAGATGAGTGGTTAGAAGAGGAATCTCACTCTAAGTAAGTAGATCACGGAGGTTCACAAGCTGAAAAATCTTCTTGTTTCTCTTCTAACAAAAAGAGCAAAGGTTAACGGCCCAAGCGGAGCTACGCGCAGCCTATGGGACAGCGGTCGAGCCGATAAAGACCATGCCCTACATCGAGTACATCAGAAGGCGGAATGAAAAGAGAGTACGTAAGTCTAAGGCAGAATTAGAGCTCGAACGACAGTTACTAGAGAAGAAAGCTGCAGATGCCATGCTGAATGCCAAACGTGACAAGGGAGGTGGTGGCGAGATGACCGTGGATTTTAGAAATTGTATGGGCGAAACCCCTCTTCTTCTCGCATGCTCAAGTGGAAACATGAATTGCCTCCTTCTACTCTTGGACCGCAGAAATCCTGTAGTGGCGGATGCAAGTGCAGTAGACAATCACGGAAGGAATATCTTGCATCACGCTGCAGCAGGAAGGAATCTGGATTTGGTATTTTTGCATCTAGCTTTTCGATTTGATTTCTCAATCATGTACGAGGAATTGAATATTTTGTTTTCCTCCTTTACATTTTGATTGGAACAACAAGAGTACTTTTTGTCTTCTTGGGGCCGCGATCCCTCATCTAAATACACTCCTTCCCAACACGCTCCCATGATTACCATCAGGTAAACCTCATCCTCGTGAACAAGGACACCACGTCTTTGTACGGGCAGTCAAACAGGCATCTAGCGTTTGTGAAGATAAACGTGAATGAGCAAGATCATGCTGGGCTGACTGCGCTGATGATAGCTGCGCAAGAGGGGAACTGGTCACTGATACCCGGTCTAGTCTTAGCCGGTGCAAGTCTCAACATGAAGGACAAAGACGAGTACACAGCTTTGCATTGGGCTTGTCATGAAGGAGAAACCAGTGCAGTTGCGACACTTCTTGTTATGGCAATCGAGAATCAATGCGCAAATCGATGCGTTTTTCAGAATCGATGCGTTGAAGAGATCAACCTCTAGTAGTGGATTCCCATTCATGATCCTTAGAATATGATCACTCCTCTGATTTTTCCCCCTCTCACTTCTCCTTCTTCATATTCCATTGCCAAGCGAACATGAACGAGGTGGATAACGCTGGTTGGACGCCGATGCATCTAGTGACGCATGTCGGCTGTAACGATGCGGCACAGCTCTTGATCGATCTGGGTGCTGATCTGAACAGGAGAACCAACAGTGGGCAGACAGCCTATGATTTAGCAAGAGAGGGCGCGGCGGCGCAAAAACTCGAGTTAGACCTAGATGACGGCAACTACCGCGCTTTAGTCGACCTCATTTGTGACGGCCTAAGAGATCATGACTTAACGCGCGGTCTCACCAGCAAGCAGTTGAACGAAGGCATCGATTCCGAAGGAAGCTTCATTCTGTCGCTACTGCATGGCAGACAGCTCTCTTGTCCGGGAACAGACTCGAACTCCCTCAACACCTACGCCTACATGCAGTTCGCGGCCACGCCAGACGAGAATTCTGAAATTTGCATGTCGTCTTGCTGTCTCGGCAATCCGAACCCAGTCTGGAACGAGACGTTTAGTTTCAGTCTGAAAAAGCTGACGCAGTACAGTTTCCTGTCGATACATTTTTTGGGGACGGCAGACACGTCGCAGCAGGATCACTTGAAGTTATGATGGGTCTATCATCGTAGTTTCACTTATAGTTGTATCTTCAAACACTGCGCGCTGACCATTTATACAAAGTACCTAGGACCTAGGTGAGTCATTTGCTCTTTAAAGTAGACGTAATCATTCTCTGGTTTCTCATAGAGCAATGAATAGTAAAGAGACCTAAAAACTTCTAATACTCGAAGCTATGAAAAAGGGTGGCGAAAAGGACGTCGGTCTAGATATGAGCAATGCTGTCGAAGTCGGAGGGATCGATATGGAGTCAGAAAGCACACCAGCAACGAGCCCTATGCCTGGATCAAGTGCGGCGATGGTAATTATATCTTTTGACTCCAAGAAGATTGGGACTAAGGTCTCTAAGCTTTTGACTCCAAGAAGATTGGAACTAAAAAGGTCTCTAAGTCGTGTCTAGATCTATCTGTTTGTAGAGACTGTCTCTAAAAACCTACCGTCTAGGTTGCTGGATTAGTATGTGAGAAGCATCATCATGACCTCTATCACGTTGTCCACCTCTCTCATTTTCAAAATTTTTGTTTTCTTCTGCGCAACCAACTTCGAGTTTTCATCTTCACTACCTCACAGGGCACAACAGAAGAAACAGATGAATACATTCCCAGCTTTGCGACGCAGCTTGAGGCTGATCGGGCCATGTTCAAGAGCGATGTCAGGACAAAAACAACCGTGAAAACCATAGAGGATCGTGTCTGGTTGCAATTGTTATGGATATTAGAGAGTTTACTTTTACTAGGTTTATTCACTACGTAGAGAGCATCCATTCATTTTTAAAGAGATGAATCACTCAGTGACAAACTGTAACCCAACACCTCAAGAGTATAATTCGACTTGTAACTACCTAAAAAGCCTAGCCTCTTCTTCTTCCTCTTCTTCTTCCTCTTCTTCTTCTTCTTCTTCTTCTTCTTCTTCTTCTTCTTCTTCTTCTTCTTCTTCTTCTTGTTCTTCTTCTTCTTCTTCTAATGGGCAAGAACTTCCACGAGGTGATGCGAAAGAAGGGGTATTTGAACGTTGCGATGCCAGCTGTGCCGAAAGCGCACATACCTTTAGGGGTGATCTTCATAAGTTTTCGTTCTTTACGAGAAGCAGTCTGGCAAAACGGGGTGTTCGAATTCGATCGGCCATTGCGCTTGTCGCAACAAGGCAGGATACGGTTTGATCTAGAATTCAGACCCAGGTTTTGGATCCCAATACCTACGACTAGCGATCCTGCGGACTTGCAAAGGTACTGTTTGAGTTTCTTTTTATCAAAAAACTAGGAGATGGAGAGATGGCTTCTTGTGCATTTACACATTTGCAAATCAGTTTCTGGTGTTCTTAGATTCTTAAAAATACCTACGACTAGCGATCCTGCGGACTTGCAAAGGTCTTTATCTCTTGCGGAGTTTCTTATGACACTGATGCTGCATCTATGAAATTTGGATGATTCATGACCAACATATAGACAACGCAATTCTAGAGTTCATTGCCCAAAGCCTTGCCCAAAACCTTCCTCGTCTCTTATGACAGGTACCACCTCCCGACCCGTGAAGAGATTGAGCAGCACTCGAGCTTCTTTCATTACAAAGATGGTAATCGGGATTATGGCGTGAAGGTGGCGCCAACTGAGGAAAATCCACTGAAGAGGGAAATGCGCGAAGTGCACGCCTTAGGCGCCAAGGTGATGTTCCAGCCGCGACAAGACCGACCAAGACCACCCGGCCAGAAGGAGATCATGAACCAGTCGGGGCGACCGGAACCAGGAAAAGAGGTCATAGATGCGGCCAGAAACAATCAGGCAGAACTCACGGCAAAAGAACGAAGAGAAAAAAAGAAAAGGCGGAAAATCATGGCGCAAAAAAGGAGTTTGTTTTTATGACCAGGAAGATGTTGTTGTCCTTTTCATTCTCTACGAGTATTGCATTTCGCTAATACAGACTCACAAAAATCGACATTGTTCTTAATGTTCTGCTTCACTTGAGTAAAGTCTAGTGCTTTGACAGTTATTGGTCTCGAAGTACAATCACAATTTTCATATCAAAACTTATAAGCGTAGTTCTCCTCTCCCTCTAACCTCTTCCGAGTTCTCACGCGTTTTCCAGTTTGGCAAGATGGCCGTGAAGTTCGAGAACGAGCGGTTGTCTGTAAAACATGCTTGGGACGCGAAAGTACCGAAGCAGGACCAGTTTGCCTCTGTCCGTTTCGAGCTGCCGCCAGCACCGTTGCCGGATCATCTGAAGGAAGAACCGAACGTGGAGTTGCACCCGGACGACGAGAGGAAAGTGGACAACTCGAGGGCAACGAACAGTGGTGGGCTGTAGTTGTGTCGTTGTCGACTTGCTGGTGAAGGTTAGGATCGCGGTGGAGGTCTGGAGTTGTATTCCTGTGCTGGTTCTTTCCGTTTGGGTTGGTGAAGTCAATTTTGTGCATTATTTAATATAGTCTAACTTTTTTTCCGGTCAGTGCTGAGATGATCATCTCTCTTAGTGGATTCTTGTGCACTTATATTTCGGTGACCCTTTCGCTTTCGACGTCATAGACGTGTCTTTCAATTTGAGGTCAAAGAAAGGGGCTAGCTTTTTTAGTGGATTGTGAACATTTCGAGCTAGCATTTTAGCTGATGCTTGTTCGTGGATGCTTGTTTTTTTAGTGGATTGTGAACATCTAGAATTGGAAGCAAGGACTGCTTCAGACTCCTTAGGGGATACTTCTTAGTGGATTGTGAACATTGAAATCGCAGATCTGATCTATGTTTTCTGGTGAATATTGATATTGTGGAAGGCGCAGCAACCCTCCCGTTGTTGTAGTCACTCCTGTTTATGTGCTAGGACATCGAGGACACGGGGTTCCCTGCAGAAACTACCGTAGGTGGAGAAAGCAAAGACCATCTCGTTACCCCAGATGACCTCTTACCCCAGATGACCTCTTACCCCCTGTCCCATTGCTGTCGCTTTTCTGCACGTAGAAATTAAAGACTACAGGGAAGCCGCAGGGTCAATCCGAATCGACTAACATCAGCAAAGATGCCAGATCGTTGCTTCGACCCTTTGACCTCTCGCCACCGGGTTTCTGTTCCTCTCGAATTTGGTCTCGTAAAGGAAGTTGCGTTTTGTCATGAACATCCTAGAACGAAGGGATTTCGCTTGGATAAGATCGAGCATCCAGGAAAATCTCACTCATTATCAGTGCCCATCCGGCTCAGATGCTCTGCCCCTTGAAGGGGTAAAGCCTACAGACAAGAACTCTCGCTGTAAGACCGTTCTAGACTCACCGTTAGTAAACGATCATGGGTGCTGGCTGTTTAGGGGGCAGCAGTCTCCCTATCGTGGCGCCAGAGGCGGCAGCTGCAGTTGCTGAAGCTGTGCCATCTCAACCACAGACCTTCGACGCCAGTAAAGCGAACTACGGGCCTCAAGAGGACGCCGCCGCCAGGAAGATTCAGGCGCGAGCTCGTGGTAATGAAGCACGGTGGCGGCCGGACTCACGTTGCGCATCAGTAAGAGAGCGCCGCGCAGCAGCACGCGAACGCGGACGCAGAGAGGGGAGTGCTCTGCTGTAGAACGTTCACGCCACCCACGAGGTGTCGCAGTCACAAAGTGGATCTTGATTGGGGACGGCTAAATCTAGTGAGAAAAGACGGTCGATAGAATAATAGACATGATCGTCGTAGTACATGTACAGGGCCTCTCAGTTACTCTACGGATTTTGCATCTTCTTCAATGAACCTGCCGTTGATGTCTCCTGTGCGCTTTAGAGAATTCAAAGAGAAAAGTATTCTACAACTACAATCAAGCAAGGCCCTCTGATCGCCATCACTAGCCGCACACGCGCTTGAGATTTCTTGAGCACGACCTTTACAAGGAGAGTAGACGCGGCGAGTCTAAAAAACTAGAGGATCCTATCAGAGAGAGAGAGCGAGAGCGAAGGAGGAGGCGCACTTTTATCACAGTTTTACTCATTATATATTGTGAAAAACAAAAAATCGCACCCTGTTTGGTTGCTTCTTAGTTGTTTCACCTTTTGGGGTCTGCTGGGTGGAGGTAATATTTTTTCAATCATTCAAATCGGTGCATAATTAACTAGTTGTTAGATTGAATTGTCCAAACACGTATTAATTTCTACGTCTATCGTTCTCTCTTTCCATATCTATTTAAAAAGCAGTCAAACTCCATGTGGAAGGCGTTCTCTTTGGGCGGCCGCTCCTCAGGGCGGCGGCTCTTATCGAGCACTCCATTAAGCGAGGAGTGCGCGTCTTCGTCTACGCTTCGAAGGTCCTTTGCCAATATGAAGACGCCTTTGGAGGTCTCGACACGAGAGCATCTAGGAAGGAGGAGAGGGGGCCCCGTTCTAGGAAGTAGAAGTAGAGGAGGGGTCCTAGGACTAGGAGGTCCACAGATGCGACACTATCGACATTGGGCTGCCCCAGCAGTCGACGATTTCGCGCTCCCCTCACATTCGATGCCCGTCGACATCAAGGACCTTCTGAAGGACCCATCAAAGAGGGAATTCGACTACTTGTTAAGGCCAGGAAAAGTGTCGGACTAGCACGATTAGAGTATTAGAGAGAAGTACTACTCCTGCTGTAATAAAAGTATACTAGTGCAGCTGTAGTTATGATGAACAGATGTTCTAGATGATCTGCGTGCTATCCTCCTTGGTACATGCATTGCGACATTTCGTGAAGATTTCAGAGAACTGCGATTATTTCAGAGTTGAGTTGTGCTACTATCAGCCATTTGTTATAAGTCCCCCTCGAATATGAGACCACTATTGGTACTGGCGGATCCGCAAAGAATCGACGGTCATGCATCCGGATCGCCTAGTCACGCTGACGTATTGAGCACATCTTCTAGAGACTTCTTTTTCGTCGTCCTACTTGTTCATTCCCCTTTATCAGTCGTTTAAAGAAGAGTCGTTTCCTGAATTCTAAGGCCTATCAGATTGTTCATTCCCCTCATCAGCATCGTTCCCTGCCTTCGGCATGGTGGATGCTAGTAAGTTACGAGATCTGCAGATGAAAACGAAGTATCATGATCTCCGTCCTCCTCAACATCACATTCTTACACCCTTATAGATACACCAGAAGTATTACAATTAACATCATTCTTACCCTTATAGGTACCATCCCAGTATTACAATTACTTTCATCCCCCAGAAATCTAAGTAATCTCTTATTATTACCGTTAGTTACCAGTATTACTTTCCACCAGGAGGAATCTCTTCCCCCTTGAAAAAAATCTAGGTACAAGCAGCTCGCTTACGACATGGGTATGCCTGTGGTATCGGAGACACTGGAGCATCATATGGGTCTGATTGAGCTGTACGAATATCTAAAGTGCTCTCCGATGATTGGAACTTTTGGTACGGTCGAAAACCCGACAATTATCCCCTCTTTATTAAGGCTTCCCCTAATGGTCCATTTCCAGATGTCGAGAGAAGCATCCTAGCGAGGATCTTCAGAGGTTCTAATGGTCTCCCATTTTGAGAGAAGGCTTTTCAAGGGGAGAATCTTCAGAGAAGGCTTTTCAAGGGGAGAGAGGCCGCTTTTCAAGAAGAAAAGGGCCCTGAGAGGCAGCTTTTCAAGATGGATAGGGGGAAGCTCTAACTTTATCGGATATTCGGCAAGTCTGTTGCACAGGCGGAACCGGTGATAACGAACATGAGGCGGTCTTGTACTACTTACTTCTACTTTTAGCTTGAGCAGCACTGATGTTTTGGCGGTCTTGTACTACTTGCTTCTACTTTTAGCTTGAGCAGGACTGATGTTTTTGATCTCATTTGTTGTACTTGATGTATTTCACGTTGTTAATCTAGAAACATTTTGATTTTCTTGTCCACAAGTTCGTAGGCTTTTCGAGCTGCGTGAACGAACATTCACATTCATAAATTTCATCCGAACATGTTGAATATGTCCTTTCCTTAAAGCCCAAACCCCAGAAAATCCACTTCAGATTCAATTGCCGACTTCAGGTTCAATTCCAAACCCTAAAAAAAATCTGCAATCTCAGTTTCAATTGCAGAGAGGGCTTTATGTATCGATGTGCTGAATGCGATCAGATTTTCATGCTAGTGCGCGTAACCTACGGCAATTCCTGGGTGGACGAGACGTATAAAGACCACAAGGAAATTTTCGCCAAGGACCCAGACGTCGATGACGTTTTTGACATCAAACTGTTGGAGCGGGGTACTATTGTATGGAACTTCTTCATAATTTTTCTAGAGTAGAAGACGAGTTTATAATAACGCCAAGAGGAAGGTAGCTCGTAGTAGTACCTGCTTCAAAAATGAAATCTATGTGTCGTCGTGACTCTACCAGCAAGAAATCTAAAGACAACATGAGCTGCATTCGTGATTAAGTTCGTCGCAAACGTGATTCTTACTACAATCCTCAAGGCCACCGCATGTGGAACAGTTCGGACATGTTGAGGTGGGAGATGGGTGCTCAAGCCGTGAACGCCGTTCCGACGCCTGAGGATGGCACGGAGGTGAAAATGCCTGTTATCCGGGAAGTACCCCTCAGTGTTGACAATGACAGTAAGAGGATCGCGAAGTAGTAGAGTTGTTCGAGGGGAGGAGGTGGATGACTACCTTGGCGTAGATGACTGAGAGGTAACCTAAAAGGACGGACCCTAAAGGACGACGCCTGCTGGAGGACGAGAAGTTTTGATCTGGAAATTACATGTTTCGTCATAATCAAGATGAAATGTGCACTCATTTTCAGGTAGACAAGGAGTTGTATTTTCTTAAATGATCACGATGTGCACAAGTACTAGGACAAGGATTGCTCTTGTCTTTGCCGCTCTATCTCGTCTCCTAATATATACTAATGTTCGGTTCTTTTAGACCTACACGTGAAAGAAGCTCAAAGATGTGAAAGAAGCTCAAAGATGTGAAAGAAGCTCAAAGATGTGAAAGAAGCTCAAAAATTAAATATCTACGTGATGGAGAAGAGAGCTCAAAGATCTCCGCTAGATGCCGCAGAGGTCCGCGATGAATTGTAGCGCATCTTCACACCAAGAGGAACTACATCACCACTCACTAAACTGACTGATTGTAGTTCTTCTACTGGTGCGTCCTCCTGCTCGTGTGTGGGAAAAGCGCTCAACAACTGATTGGTCTTCTTCTCTTCCGCGTCCTCCTGGTCGTGTGTGGGAAAAAGGTCTCAGTGCTGAGAAGATACCCATGGTCGTTTCCCCCAGGTATCCTTTTCGTTCCTTCATCTGATGAAGATCGCAATGAAAGTAGGAAGATCTTGGCGATCAGCGCTTCATGTAGTTTCAACGTATCAAACTGAAAAACACAAAAAACACAGGAGGGGAACTTACGCTGAGGTCTTTCTCTTTCAGCAAATGAAAAAGCCTATATCTTCGAGTATTCTTTTTCTCTTGTGCTTCGAAAATCTCGTCTTGCATTCATTTTTTATAACACCCGTAGCAAGCCACACCACGTAGAAGTCAACTCGCTAATATCTTGAGAAGAATATAAGAATAATACATCGTAAGAATACAACATCAATAGCTAGCTAACTAACTAACTAACTAACACAGCACACATAACATAACTAGCTGTTCGTATTTCGTCCATATTGTAAAACCAATAACTCACGGGGTAGATACTTACACCATTTCGAATCAGATCGTCTTCGCTCATCTCCATCGATTGAAAGAATGTTCATAACTGATGAATGAGGCATGATGACGCAGCACTTTCAATCTTCTAATACTATAGGTATCGCACAAATCAATCAAAACTTAGATTGCCATAGGTAATAGCTTTTCTGGTATCACGACACAGTCAGCATTTTATTGTGCAAGCATGCGAAGAATTTATGACCACCTATCACCTAACGCACAACTAACATATTGCGATGTATTTTATGTATCTCTTGTGTTTTTTCCTACTTAGGACTGCTCCACCACAAAGTATTGAAGAATTATTTCTATCTGAACCGCAGGATTATTCCTTTCTGAATCGACGATTCTTCTGATTCTGTCTAGCAAAATAGAAATCTGAAATCTGAAGATATATATGGGCATCGACTCTGACCAATAGTTCTAGTCGTTTTTTTTTCTGGTAACTTCGATTGATTGTTCGAGTAGCTGATAATCAAATCTGATTGATTGTTGCTGGTTCTGCTTCTACATATTACTGGTTCTGCTTATAGTATTTTTTTTCTGTCCTTGAATATATATTTCTGTAGGGATCATGGATCTTGTGATATACTGAATACCAACGTGATCGAGATCCTCCCCGCGTTCCGCCTCTTAGGATCAAGATCAGGATCACCACAAGGATAAGGAAGAACAGGAAGATCACCACCAGGATGATCAGGATGAAGAAGGTCAACACGATAGGAATCACATCGTGAGGAAGTTCAACCGAATAGCACGGTCCAGGAGAAAGGTCAAAAGTGAGAAGGTTCAGGAAGTAGCTAGGTACTCAGTAAGCAGCAGAACAAGCAACAACAACAACAGCCACGTCATAACCTAACTGCATGCAGGTTATGTAGAGTACCGGGCTAATCCCCATGGAAGTTCATAATCAACAAGTTACTAGTGCGGTTTGGCGTTGCATCTAATCTGTGTTCGCACTAGGTGGGCTATTGGTCTAACAATTTCGTAAGAAGGATGTTGGATTGGATGGATTGCATGGCATTGCATGCATTGCATGAGCCGAGGGGGTCAGAGTGCGACCTTCTTAAGGGAGCGACACGGGAACGACGCCTCAGGGCGCGGCATAGGAATACTTGGCTCCGTTGTAGGAGTACTTGAATAGTGCTGGCACGTACTAGCTATTGCAAGTAGGTCGACTAGGCTAGCTTGCCTGTGATCTCGACCGTCTTGCCCACTGTTCCCTGGCGCACACAGGCCACGGCGTTTGCGCTGCTCCTTGCTTGTTTCTGGGGCGAGGTCACAGTGGGGCCGTGTTTGTGTTCGTGTATCGTAAAGTAATTCTTCGGCGGAGCAGCCCGGTACTGCGGAGGAAGTATGGCGCCCGAAGGGCGCCGCGAAAAATATATTGCTTTTTGGGTGGTCCATCCATGTAATGCATGCCATCCATGCCATGCAATCCAGAAGTTCGGAAGTTGCCTCATATTCTAATATAATAGTAACATACAGTTTTAAGTAATAGTTTTAGTGGTTTTTTATCACCCTTTCTATATATATGAAGATGATGTCACCGGCTCGCGGTTCAGCACCTCCTACACTTCAGCGAAGTAGAGGTGCGGAAAAGACGAAGAAGGGCAGTAGGACAAACATGTTATCGTCCACAGCCACATCCAGTGTTATCGCCGCTGCTTTGCTAGGAGGTCTTTGCCATTGCACTTGGGGTGGTCTTGCTTCATCAGTATACGACGCATCCCCCAATTATATGGAGATCTTCCCGGACACCGGTGTCATTATGGAGCCTGCTGGGGCTAGAAACTATGGAAGCTTCCTTTCAACAGGCAGGGATTCGGAAGATATTACAGATCGCGCCATAAGCGCCGACCTTCATGGGATGACGGAGAAGATACTTGTGCAGAATGCTGCTCAGGGCGCTGCTCAACTTCTGAATCAACAAGGATTGCGCAGCTCTGTTCTTATGTTGACAGAAAAATCTTGTGTGGTCGATGACTTGATCAACATCTGCGTTGTAATTATTAGAAGGATTTCCTAGAATTATTTTTGAGAAATACAAATGTACACCGCGGCCTGGTGGCTTCTAGAAGTTGTAAGCACAGTCTGTCAAGATGAAATGAATCTCGCAGTAAGGTACTACACTATTCTAAGGAAAAGGATGCTGATGGCAGACGATTCGTTTATGTGCCGTGTTGGACGTCGGGACGGGAAGACAAGCGCTTGATTCGACACCAACTTGATGAACAGGTAGAACGGAAGCTCCGAAAAACAAGAATGCTTACGGCTCTTAATCGTGCCAACTAGTCGTACTCATCTTCTTGGTAATCAGAACATTATTTTTCAGCGGTTCTCGCCGAATCAGAGAGAACATCTGTTTCAGGTACTGTTTTCAGGTACTACTTGGCAACAGGATGTTACATATGAGAACTGAACTCTTTCGTCTTGGCAATGGTATGCAATGACCATTTGAGACGCACTGATGATGACCAGCTGCAAGAAGATGTGGTAAAAGATCCAGATGGGTCGTGGTTGTCGTTATCTCTAATATAACAGAGGAAGAGCTGCAGGAAGACATCAATAAAAAAGAAAAACGAGTATTATCCTTAATACCTCTATCTCATACAAGCGGAAGTTCCTCGACAGTTGTAGCCACAGCGGACACCACTGGGCAAGAATTTGGCGACATGGGCACTCCACATTCCTCGTCTGCCTCGTTTCAAGCCTTACAACTACAGCATGAACCGCTCTTGAGGAGTGACACATCAGTGGTGACGCCTACATTGAGGGCAGCAAAAACGCCAAACTTAGTAGTGCCCAAAGCGAGATTGGATTTGGATGGAGGTGAAGATCCTGACAAAAGAGATGTTAAGGCTTCTCCTAATCCATCTCGTGAAGCATCCTGAGGATGCTTTTCGAGGGGAAAAAGAGCTCAGGATGATCTTCAGGATGGATTCGGGTGAGTTCTAAAGATGGGGGTGAGAGTGACGAACTTGCTTCTGGGATGCGGGCAATAGATTTGGATGGTGATCTTCTAAGTGGAGGTGGAGACTTCTTGGAAAACGAAAAAGACGACGTGGGACTAACGGACGTGGGAATGACCGCAACAGTCGTGGAAGATGAAAAGCAAGTAGGCGAAGAAAGCAGTCTGAAATTGGCGTCGAATCTCTTGAAATCTTTTCTTTAGGACAGTATGCAAAGTTGGTAAGTATGTTGATCACTACTTCTAACTATTTGTGACTTCATCTTCGTGAATACAAAATTATTTTTCTGTTAGTCGGGGAGAGGAGACATCTTTGTAGCATTCAAATCTACTGAATTCGTATCAAGCAAACTCCTGCGCGTTGGCCTGTTCTTCACCTATCACATTCATTGAAAAATACAGTAGTAAACAAAGAACAGTTCTTCTTCCATTTCTACAACTACAAGTACTTAACTCCCTCTGCTCTAATGTCGCGACAACAAGACGCAGAGGAAGATGGGGGAAGTTTGTCGCAGTGATCTCTTGCGTGTCGACGACTGGGATGCCGAGTGGCGTTCGGGCGAGCGTGGTGAAGAAATGGCTCTAGCATATTTCAAGCGACATTTGATATTATGGCAACCACTGGAGCATCCTCAACATCATCCTTGCTTTCTTTTCTACTTGAAAAAGAAGCGCCTTGTTCCAAGGATACTATTACTCTCAAATCGGAAGATGCGAACGTAGTAGCTCTAATGATGCCTGCTCTCCTGATAACTGAAATGCAAACGCAATTGCGATACAGTGACAACACTCGCGGGGAACGGTGGCAGGAGGTGCGGAGCATGTTCGCCGAGAATCCGGACCCGAGGGCGATAGTGAAAGCGCTGCCCTTTTACGCACCTCGTCTCACAGCTGAAGTTAAGGCTCAGGACAATTCGTTTCTACAAGTCATTTTTTCCTATTTCCTTCTTAGGATTGGGAGAAATGCAGGCCGCGGGACGGAGAAGGAAGAGAACCTTTGGAACGCATTTCCCTTCAAGTTCCAGGGAAGTAAGGGACTTTCGAGGCGAATAGAAGACGGAAGTACGCGGTCCTTGAGAGGCGGCGATCGGTTCAGTTTGACTTATAAAGTAGAAGCTAGCGTAGCACTAGTGGACCCACACCTAACCTAACCTAAACCTTATGAACAAGCAAAGGCATACTTATAATATAGAGATCACTTCATGGCTCTAAGGAAGAGGAGCAGGAAGAGAACACTTGGAACGCATTTCCCTTCAGAGCAGGAGGACTAGGAGTAGCTGTTGGCCGTCCTGTCGGGAGTGAGGTCGTTTTATTTACGGATAAGAACTTGCTGCTAGTTCATGAATTGGAATGATTGACCCTACGGCGATCACGCTCCGGTGATCACGAGGAAAAACTACAACAGGAGCACCCACATGACGTCTTTACTCCCTTCACGAATTACAACATGTTCTTGACGATTACCACTATTTCAAAGGATTTCACTGTACAGTCAGGAGCACATGACTTTACCCAAGTTGAACATGACAACAAATTCAGATAGGCTTTCTGATTCTATCAACAGATTTAGTTAGGCTCTACTCTAATTTATCAAGCTTCCACAGGCCACCAAGGGAAATTACCAATCTCGAGAAATACAGTGCCAACAGCATGCAAGGCTTTGGTACTTCATTGAAACAGTAACTTCAAAGTATCACGTATTCGACTTGTCATCATCATGTGGAGTAGTAGGGTTTTGATGTAGAAATCCGGTGTCTTGCATCTGTCTAAGTACTTTGGATGTTGCTGTCTATTTCTTCATTATGTGACTAGAAAAGGCGCGCTTTGGCTATCCGTAGTTTGTGAAAAGTTTGTGAAAATAGAAGTGTCATACTTAAATCAACCTCACACAGTTGAGATGATTCAAGCTGGTCGTGCGCATTACATTCGAGACCCCATCGCGGACGACCAATTATCTGACGACTACTGGGCTGCCAGTCCCTGGCCGGAACTCGCTGATTATGACTACTACACTGTAAAGATGCTCGGTTGCACGTACAATCTACTTCGGCGTAACTAGCAATTTATGCATTAACTCTGATGAATCAATACATAGCGACAACACTGAATCTTTGGAGTCTGATGAATCAATATCAACTGTTGCTTCTAATGAAATAGCGGCATTGAGGTCGATGGGTTTGGTCTTCAGGTCTTGCCGCGAGGTCTTACCTGGAAAACTATGCCTTACTGGCGAGGGGTATTATGGAGACTGCGGGAAGCGATGCGTGGTGTGGAACAACAACCAAGCGAGGAAGAACGGAGAAAACTTAAGTTAAAAATCTCTGTCGTGGAACGCGCTTTGCGGCCAGCTTTGTTCGATGAGCACCGACGATTCTTTTCCTCGTTGCCGTTTTATTTCGAGTGTGACGTACACGAAAATGGCTTGGGTGGTCGCGGGGTGATAAATTGGGTACATGCTGCTCCTGTCCAGTCTTCTGTCCATTCTCTCAGCTCTGTCGCAGCACAAGAAGAGAGCCCACAAAAAGCAAAGGCCTATGAAGTCCCGGGACCCGACTGGGAAGCACGACGAGGCCTCTTTTACACGCAATTCGAAAGGGAAATCATCTGGAGAGCGTTCGTGGATGCCGCAGTTTTACTTACGGCGAAGATAATTTACTTCTAGAACCTAGTAGTATGTACAAGAGCTTAAGGGGAAATGAAGAGAGAACTAGATCTTGATTTAATACTTAAGAAGATAATTTCAAATGGAATTATGTATTGTTAAAAAGAAAATGAAAACTGTAGTGGCAGTCCATTACTTGGCTCCTCTCGTATCTCTGAACTCGAAGTCGAGGCACCCTATCCTATCCTATCCTATCCTATCCTATCCTATCCTATCCTATCCTATCCTATCCTATCCTATCCTATCCTATCCTATCCTATCCTCTCCTATCCTATCCTATCCTATCCTATCCTATCCTATCCTATCCTATCCTATCCTATCCTATCCTATCCTATCCTATCCTATCCTATCCTATCCTATCCATTTTCCCTCGTGTCTAATAGATGCGCAGATAGTGACGATTTGCTGAAAAAGGATCGGGTATGGAAAGCTCGGCGTCTTCAAGCCCTTTGGCAGGCTAGAGCGCACTACAACCACACCCGCGCTATGCCCAGTCCTATGCCGCGTGAACTGCAGGCAGAAGTAGCACGCCGATTTTTATGGCAAGTTTATTCAAGCACAAAAAGTAAATTAGCCGGCTAATTTGCCTCGATGGTTCGGATGTCGATTTTACTTCCTAGCCCCTATGTGCGAAGTATGTTAGTGTTTCACTTATAATATTAATTTGTATTTTTCTATATCTTCGTTTTGTATTTTTAGCGCCTTCTAGTTAGGGCTCCGCCACAAAAGATTATAAGTTTAGTGTTGAAGTCCAAGTCGTGTTCCGAGTAGTTGTAAGACCATTCTTGGACTTCAAAAGTGTTGATGTGTGTAAAGGTTGAAATCTAATCTTTGGCAAGTCATCGTGGGGACGAAATCCCACACCTGTGCTCGCTTCCTTGATCGCGGATGCCGCAGATTTTGTTGATTTGGCGCCTCATTTGATGCCAGTGAAATTGGTCATGGATGTTGAAGCGATGGCCGTACTTTTACCAAAGACCTCCGCCACGAAAGCGTTAAGTGATGAAGAAAAAGTGCCTCCAAAGAACTACGCATTGTCCTCTGAACAGGATCCGGGAACTACTGACAACGACAAGGAACAACTAAATGCAGAATTTGTTGATAATCAAGTTTTGCCAGTATTGCGGAAACTTTTTTCGAATGCTCTAGATTTGGCAAAAGAATCGAACCACACATCGGGGTACGCAATCTCTTCGAAAGCAGGCGCGGCTCAAGGGAAGAAAAGTCACTTCCTTATGTTCTTCACAGGGATCATGATAGTGATTAGTTATAGTTCTCCACCTTGTTCTCATGATTGGATCTATTTCATGTTGCAGCTCCTACTTCGTCGTAGCATTCATTCAGCATTGTATAATCGTACTCATCCATTTCGTAGTAGTATTCATCCATTTCGTGGCGCAGCTTCATGTAAAGTGGTAGTGTAGTAGACGGAAGCTGTAGTGTAGTAGCCTGCCCTACCCCTGGAGTGGATACACTCATTTATTCACTCATAAAGGTACTATGAGCTTGTGTGTCGTCTTCTACTTCTTTCTCTAAGCGCTGGGTTGGAGGTGCTCCATTAGCGCCACATCTTATCGGTCAAGACTTTGACAGGAGCGCAGGGGCATTACTGTCGGTATCGAACCTTGAAGAAAGAAACCCGTCGCCGCATTTGGTCCAGCTGCAGCAGATAGTTGCTGAGAAGAGGGCTCAGGAGGCTCTTGCACACGCTGCGCAGGCTCAACTTAAGGCATCATTCAATGTTACATTGATCCATTGTATATACCTCTGCCTTTTTTCTATCTTTCCTAGGTAGATTGGCTCCGCCACAAATACTTAGAAGTAGAACGGAGACAGACCTCCACCTCTAAATGTAAACACTGTTAGAGACGCACTGAAGATGCAATATTAAAATTAATGCAATTGTGAATTGATTGTATCCCTTCTATCTACCTAGAAGAGAGACGGACCTTCACTTCTATAGTACTCATAGCAATCTGACAAGGTCGCTTCTTGGTTTTGTATCTTTTCGCGACCTAGAAATAGGAAATACAAAAAGCTAGTTGGCGTCATTCAGTGGCAGGCGAAATGGGCATGAGAACCATCTAATCATAAGAAAGGTAAAGGCAAAGGGCAAAAAGGCAAATGCAAAGGACAAAAAGGTAAAGGCAAAGGACAACAGAACACCACTCTTGGACTTCAAGATGGAGAAACTACTCGGAACACGACTGGACATCAAAATCTGAGAGGAACTCAGAACACCGTTGGACTCCAAAATGGAGAAACTACAACTGACATCACGACGTCGTCTGTGACGTCATACAATCATGCTCAGAATCAAGTAGGACAATCATCTTCAGGCTCAAACAGTAATTCTTGGGACACAGCGGAGATCAGTGCAGAATCGCAAGAAAGATATAGCCTCGCCAAACAAATTGCCGATCGGAATGGTGGGCTAACGGCTCGCGACTCCTTCGCTAGCTTGATGGAAAAAGGCCAGGTGCTGTTGTTGAACTTCGAGTCCCAAGCTACAACGGTGAGTTTCGCATTGCGGCCAGCACCAGAAGGGCACGAATTTCATCCACTCGTTCGCGACCTCAAGAGTTTGTTCTTATGAAGATTTTGAATCACTAGATCCTTAGTAATATCTCTGGTAAATTTTTTGTAAATTATGAGATCTTCCCGCTCGTCCCCTTATTGTAAGACTTCCCGTTCATCTCCTTGTTGTAAGAATTTTGAAGTAACCTCCTCCCATAGCAGGAAGTTGGTAATTCCCCCTTTGGCTTAGAGGTGTGCTGCAAATCTTGAGTGGCTTCTTCCTTTTTTTTAAGGTTGGGGCTTAGGTCCAGCGACGCTTAAAGCACTAAAGTAAAGCAGCCGGTTGTAGTAGAAATCTTGATCTTCCCGCTCGTCTCCTTATTGTAAGACGTCGGTACAGCCACGGCGAAGTTGCTGCACCCTATACCTATCCTGTACCTATCGTATCTTACCCCCTGATAGTAAGACTCCCCCTGATAGTAAGACTCCCCCTGATAGTAAGACTAAGATCCCCCTGATTGTTAGACCCCCTGAGAGTAATATTTCTCTCAGATGAGTATGAGATCCCTGCCCGTTCCTCATGTGAGGACCACTTCTAAGACTTTACGTGGAGGTATCGATCACCACAGAGCGGGAAAAGGCAAAGAGGCGGCTCTTTAACAAAAAGATGTGAAAGGGACTCAGATTGGTTGAGATGTGTAATCGGCTGAGTACGTACGTAACGACAGTGTATGACTAACTACAGTCAGAGTATGTGACTAACTGTTTCTAACTACAACAGAGTATGACAATGTTTTCTACTACTAACACACAACTACTTATATTATTTCAAGATAGAAGAGGATACAGAACATTTTTTTTTGTTCGATCATAACAAGTAAGAACTGTTTTTCTTAATCTAATATGTGCCTATTGACCACAACAGACAAGCAGAAGCGTTCATTATACCTAGAGCCTGTCACTCTGAATAATTGTCCCTTCATTGGCCTACAAGCAGAACCACCCTGAAATGGGTATCACTACAGCTGCTCTGGATTTTCTTCTCTCTATCATATGATCTTACTAGCCTTATATCTTCCCGATGCTCTCATCCACTAACTTATAACCAAGCCTTCCTTTTTCCGAAATTTTGGGCGTGTTCTGTGTGGGGATAAGAGTTGACTTTTTTGGGTTTCATCTAATACTTTCAGTGCACGTTAAAAATATTCAGTACCATCGTCCATACTTGCCGATGGCACAGCAATGAATGGGTACTTATACCAAAAAAAAAGAAGTACTATTTGAGGCACAAATAAAAGGTGTCCTCTTTGACTGCAGTCTTCGCCGAATAGATGTATAAAAGTGGTCGGTGCTTGCTAGACATGAAGTCACCAGTCGGATGGCCCTGCTGCTTCTCTAAGATGTGCTTGCATACGTTTACGTACGGATAACTAAATAAACTAAGCAAATATTTCACGTAGTCGAAAGTGTGAAGAAGATTAAACAGTTATAAGCTACAACATGTACTAGAACGGACTGCGAAGAAGTGACCGGCCACACTGCTGCGAAAAATTTGAATGACGGTGAAGTGTCAGCATCTTTTACTGCTGATAACTTATTAAATTGTAGCAAGTGGTCGTGGTGGAGAGTGCTATTTCTTCGTAACCCATGCTGGTGCGTCGAACAAACTCGAAAAACTTGCAATGTAATGGAACTGTTTTGGTAGGGGCGATGCCTTATAGAAGAAGCAGCTCTCTGTGGCCGTTTCAGATTGAGGATGAGAGATGTGAGGATGACGAGTGACGAGTGTACTCTAAGTGAGATTTCGATTTCATATCATGTAGAAAAACGAGAAGTTTCTAACAAGAGGGAAATATTCGTGTCGTGAAGAGGTCGTTGATATGGGTCGCATCTAGAGTATAATACGATCGTAATCGCAAGAACAAGAGTCGACAAGGACTTGATCGTTATCGTGTGTCGTTTTTGAATCAAGTACTCATGTTTCATATCAATACCAATCTTCAATGAAGAAGACTGTATCTCCAAACAATGAAATTCTGTTGTAGGTTGGCTTTCATCCCGCCCATTTTTCTCTCGTTTTGTTGATTGTATTTTCTAGCCTCTTCCTTAGTCTGAATCCATAATGGTGATTTGACTCTCTTTCGCATTGTCCTAATCAATCAGACGATGACCACACACACTCCCATTCAAATCTCACTCACATTACTCAATCCAATCCATGATCTCGCAAACACAATAGGTAGAACAGAGAGCTGCACTTTTGAGAGGAAAACATGATGCTACAACTAGTACCTTCTAGGGAGGAAAACAAGATGCTACAACCCCGGCGGAGGCGGCCGCAGAACTAAGCTGCCTGGTGGAAAAAACGACAAAGCCTTGATTAAAACTACCACAAGAATTCCACTTTCTAGGATTAAAAAAAACGACGACAACGATAAGCTCATCCAACCTTCGGAAGTTCTTGTAGTACAAGAAGATCTAGTACAACTTATATCAAGCCAGAACAACAACACCAGCGAAGATGTCAGACGATTTAGTTCTTGTCTATGACAAGAACTTGCCTGAGGCAGGTCAATTCGCCTTGGATATCTACGATCACGCCAAGAAATGGATTGGATTTTCGATTCAAGAGCCGAAGCCATTCGAACGCACCTCCTTCACAGTGGCCGGACAAAACATTGGCATTATCATTACGCCAGGTACACGACTTGCTATTCTATTGATATTATCTTCCTCTGGTCTGTATTTTTTCTAGTTAGGTCGGCTCCACCACAAGATATTGCGTTTGTGCGTAGTGGGTTTGAAACTCAGAAGATATGATTTTTTTGGAGCAGACTTTGCTCCTGGATGAAAAATTGACAACGAAGATAGTCACGAACAAGAACAACCTCTATCCCTCACTTAAAGACTTCAACATTCATCAAAGAAACCCTCTCTCTCTACCACCACATCATTCCAAGTAACAACCAGTAACTCTCAAGGTGTTTTCAAAAGTGAATTCCTCACTGACGCCTTGGAGCTGATTGTAGGGGGTAAAAAGCCCTGTACGCTTATCCACCACATAGCGTTGGGCGTGGACGTGGAAACGGAGATTTCGGAGATTGAAAATGATGAATACCAGAGATTCATCCGCAAGTGCCAGACTTGCATCTACACTTATGAAGAAGACGTAGTGGTTACTGACGTACTGACGAACACACAACAGTCCAATTTTTTCAATCCTCTTTTCTAGATGGACATTCTTATGTCTGAACTGTTTGTCTTTCTGCATCATTCTCCTATTCCAGGTCACCAGCACAACTTCCTCCAACCATCTCTTTCTAATCTGCATTCGATCTGGCCGACAACTGCCAGGACAATGTGATAAATATGCTGGAGTTCAAGTCGGGAGAATCCAAGAAGGAGTTGCAAAAGCAGGCTGCTTTGCGTCTCGAAGAGACCAGAGCAGACATCCTGCTCTTCTCTTCGCGAGTAGCCAAGGGCCGCTTGAATGCTGCAGTTCATCGTCGATATGACTTCTGCCTCACCTGTGCAGAATCGACCGACGAATCACCAGCAACGTCAGTGTTGAAGATCGTGCACGACTGCATGACCAAATACGGACCAGCATTACAAGTGTGCAGGAATCAGGTAATTCTACTATTAGAGTAAAGCTTTAGAATAAGCTCGTTCATCCCTGAGGGCATATCTTTGACATATCGCAGATAATGAAGAGTTAGTATTACCAATTTCAGCATGAACATGAAAGTCCTTGAAACAAAAATCATCGGCTTCCCCACATAATGATACAATCAGGGCGACAAGGCAGTGACGAACGTGCAACAGCGTACGTCCAATATCCGGGATTCGTTTAACTTGGTCGTCATCGTTGGACCTGACTGCTTTGTGACGGATGAGAACGGCAAGGGTGCAGCAGTCATAGACGAGGTGCGAGCCTCATTGGACTCTGAGTTGAATGTGGTCTTGATTCAGGACTTGGGCGTAGTCCCGGATATCGATGCTGAAATCGAGAAATGCCAAGACATGGTCTTGCAATCTTGTCTCAAAAGGGCAATGCGGTATGTGTATTTGAAGTTATGAACACTGAATGATGATAGTGAGTGTAAATCACTCCACTCAGTACTAGTTCTTGTACTTTCCTCATATTAACTTCTAAGTGATCAATATTATCAATATTTTTGAACGGCGGACTCGAAGCAGAATAACGAAAACAAGCTTTTGTCTACTGCCAAAAGGCGAGTCCGAGTCCTCTTCGGATAGCTCTAACATCTGGTTCCGCAGATGCGACCCTCCGTAGTCTAGTAGCAGATCCGATGGCTGTCAAAACCGACGATAACAAGACTCCCAGAACCCGTGCAGCGGGTGTCGCATCTTTCAAACTCAACTACAAAAACTCACAGGCGATGGTACTACATGGTGATTTGTCCTTGTTTATCGTAATCGCTTTTATCTATTTACCCAAGCACAGCACGGAGAATTATTTACTTAAGTAACAAAATTTCTAGTGCAATACATCTCGCAAACGGTTCATTTTCCTTCAACAACGTCAACCCTGCTACTGCATAGAACACATTCAAATTTTCATTTTTGTCCTTCCCCTAAAGAAACCCTAAATCCTAGGAACTCGCCTTCGATGGTCGTTTGGCAGTTTACAAAACCAGTCTCTACGAGATGAAAAACAAGAAGATCCCGGGAGACGTCGAGAGCTGCATCAAAAACCTCTTCGCGCTCTATGACACTGCCGGAAAGGGAAGGATTACTTTTATGAAAAAAATAGTTTTTCACATGTACCAGCAGATCATGTTGTTCTAAGTACTTTATTCATAAATAGTTTTTCACATGTACCAGCAGAATATGTTGTTCTAAGTACTTTATTATTCCCCACGCAAGCTCGAGGATAGTTCTGAAACATTGATATTAAACTTGTCATTTTCACGACCGGAGACCCCTTCTCCCTCATCTTCTTCCCCCTTCGCTAATCTCTGGGCTCAGTTCGCGGAGATTGATCGATTGATGACGGAAACGCTAGGTGGGCAGTATAGTGAGATGATTTCGCGTCGTGTCTACTCCATGATGCTTTATCCCGGTCTCACTTTAGAGAGTGAGATCTCTTACACTTAAGGCGAGTTCTCTCTTCGTCCATCTTCTGAAGCATACTAGTGGAAGTTTCCCAGAAGGGGGAAACAGCTCCAAGATGAGCGCCAAGATGGATTCGGGTGAGCTCTAAGACACTACCTTCTTCAACTACCATGCTTTCATCGCGAAGTCCATGGGTATCTTCGAAGGCGAGAGCCGAGATGTGGGCATCCACTACAAATACGTCAGTGACAAAGTAAAGACCATGAAAAAGGGTAAGCGATTTCAGAAGACGTATGATTTGTACGTCACCCACGATCGCTCCAAATTCTCCAAGGAGTTCGCTTTCCAACTAGCAGAATCTGTCCGCAAGTTCACACCGAACGTCCGTCTCGTTTTGGGAACCGACTTCGACAAGAAGGAGGACGATAAAGGTGATGACAAGAAGAAGAAAGACGCCAAGGCAGAAGTCGTAGTCGAGAAAAACAAAGCACCTTTGAACGCTTTGAACATGCTGGTGTTGCTGCGACCTGGAGTTTTGACGAAAGACGTCGTGAAAGAGGAAATCATGTGTGGTTTGGAGGGCGGTGCACAGATCCTAGTGATGTGCCACGTCGCGAAGTGTCCGGTTTTCGAGATGGAAGTCCGTCAAGCGCCAGCAGAGTTGCAAACGATTATGCGTCGACTACCAGTCTTCTGCTACGCGCCAGACAACGACGCTAGCTGCGTCACTAGCATGTTGGACCAGATGCACTTCCCCGATTGGAAGCCAGTAGCGAACAAGGCCAAGACGTTTCGAAGAAATGAGTCGCCATTGGTTCTACACTTGTTCCAACGCGCGGATGAGGATGAAGATGTGCAATCCGCCTTGCAGACGATTGCGAACGTGACGTCTCCAAGTTCCGTGAATGCAGGCTATTTCGGATCGGAGTTCTACAAGGACGGCGGTCTGGTGATTCTGCAAGACAAGATTTATGGACACACTGCGACCTCGATGGACTATTTAATTTTTAGTTGAGAACTTTTCTTGATGTTCTGTGAAGATGACACTTGATTCGATTTCAGAAAGGAGAAGACTGTCACTTATTCTTGTGTCTAAATTTTGTTGAAAAAGGTAATTGTCATGCTAACACAGAAAAATTTTCAACTTCCGCTTCCCTTCTCTAAGGCCCGATGAACTTCGGAAGTGTCCCCGCGATTGCGGAGACTGCTTGCCGTGCGGTCGCCAATATTGCCCAGTGCTGTGGTCAGCACGCAGGCGAAGTGGTGGATCAAATGTGCAAACTTGGAATCGTCGACATTGTCATCCAGAACATCAATCAGCACACCGATTTCCCTCTACTCCAGGGTGAGGCTTGCCGTGCGCTCGCCAACATCGCAGCGCAATCGCACAACGCTAAGGAGATCGTGAACAGCAAGCAGGGTTTCCAGATCATCCTGCAAGCTCAGAAACGTTGCGAAGAAGAGCCCAACTTCTGGGACACGCGATTCGAATTCCGACGATTACAGACCGGCAACGAGTTGATGGTGAACCACGAGGGTCAGGGTCGCTGGATCTCTGGTGTAGTGAAGGAGGCCTACTCGAATGGTACCTATGACGTAGGATTCGCCCATGGTGGTATGGGCCGTAGGGTGCCAGCACATCTTGTGCGACCGAAGGATCCGAGTGACAAGATTTTGGAGTTCTGCGGGAACTGGTTGTGGAAGCCAGGAGGTCGTTTGACCGAGGACAGCTTGATGATCAAGTTATGAAAATAGTACAACACGCAGTCTTTTTTGAATTCATACGGTATATTACAGGATGATTACCCTGCGAGGACTCCTTTCTTGATAGTATGTAGGAAAGATACCAGCTACATTATGAGGCATGCTCTACTTCATATTTGGTTGAGAACTAAGAAACTAGACAACCACAGCTTCTAATCCACGCAGACGGCATGGTTTCTCTGACCGAGTCCGGACAAGTCGGTACTTGGTCAGTAGCTGACCGTGACGATGGACGTACTGCGATCAAGCTGCAAATCGGTACGTTGATGATCGAGATGGAACGTATTTCCGTGACGACGATGCGTGCGACCGCTTCCCCGCATAGATTAAGGCTTACCGTAATTCATCTTCAGACGCATCTTGGCGCATTTTTTTACTGGAAAAAGACGGCAAGGATGCATTTCAAGATGAATATAGGTACTAAGGTCTTCTAAATAGAGCTGTGTTGGCGGATGAACTGATGGACGCTTTGTTTGTGCAGTACTTCAACTACGAGGACATGAACTCGGCATTGAATAACGGAAGTTTGGCGATTCCGCCACTACTGGGTCGTAAGCCGGACATTGCCAGATTGGAACAGGAGGTGAACCGACCACAAGGTGATGGACAGCCGTGGACGGGATTGGGCATGGAATTTGAGGGCAACTTCGCTACGCGCTTCAGCGGCACTTTGGTTATCAAAAAGATGGGGGACTATCAATTCGACCTTTCAGCCGATGCAGCAGCCACTCTCCGAGTTGGTGCTCGAACCGTAGTCAGCGGCAAGAAGTACAACTTCGTGGCTGGCGCCCATACACTACGTCTCGACTACTGTGCCATTGGCGGCATGGAAAAGAAGGTAGTTTTGAAGTATCAGGGTCCGGATACCAATGAGTCGATGGTTTCCGTTCCGGCTGGTGTGCTGCAACACGATCGAGCCTCCAGTTCGATCATCGAGAAACCAGGTTTCATCGCGGAGTACTGGCCGGTCGATAACAGCACGACCATGACCATTCCGAACTTATGGCTCAGTTAGAAAGGTTCGGTAAAAAATTTTAATTTTTTAAATTGGATCAAAGTATTCTCTAAACAAATGGATCATCCACAGGAATCACTCGTTTGTTAAACTAGATGAAGAAAGTGGAACTCAATTTGGTTTATTTCTGACTCATCTTCTAACGCCTAGCGCCTCCGATATCATTCGTGTGGATAAGATGTTGGATTTCGATATGGATACCGACCCATGGGCGCGATTGCCCGATCGCTACGGCCGCCCAGCTTTCTGCGCTCGTTACACAGGTTACCTGACCGTCGCCTGTGGCGGAAAGAAGCGTGCCATGTACAAGTTCTTCTGCGAGTCCAACAAACGTGCAAGGTTGTTCTTGAACGACAACTTGTTAATCGATATCGACCAGACGGTCGCCGAAGTCGAGTTGACTAAGGGACAGCATTTGATCCGAGTGGAGTATTACTCCAAGCCGAACGAGATGCATGGTTTGAAGGTGAAATATGCGGGACCGGAGACATTGCCAAAGCAGACGAAGGAAGAGGAAGAAGCCGAAAAGCAGGCTTTGGAAGACTACAACTTAAGGCTCATGGTGGCTTGGTCATGCATTGAGTAACGCTGAAGTTGAAGAAAGTATCACAGTGTTGTTCTCTCCGCTTCAAAACGTGTTTCCACAATCACTACACACTCACACATTTCTTACAGTAGCAGTAGCTCTTCTTCTAATTTAAAAGGCGGTGAAAGCCAGGCAGGACTTCTTCGACGATCCTCCAGAACCGGAGGAGGGTGAAGAGCCGCCACAACCGCCACCAGAACCGGTGAAACCGGCAGAACGCATCCCGGATATCATGATTGTGGACCCCACAGTCGTGAGCTATTACGCGCCGGCGACGATCTGCGTGCCAAAGAACGATCCTTTAGTTAAGGGTTTCCGAATTACATCCCTCACTACCATCCTTGGCTCCTTTTCAAGGGGGAAATGGGTCAAGGATGTTCTGAAGAATGCAATTCGGAAACCTCTAATTTAGAGCGGCACACAGGCGCCGTCAGCTGCGTCGCGTTCTCGCAGGAAGACGGCTTGATGGTGTCTGGTGGCTTTGGCGGAAAGATGTGCGTGTGGAGCTACGTCTTAGGCGAACACATCGCGACGGTCGACTGCGGTTCTCCGATCACGTGTGTCGCGTTCCCCACCGGCATGGAGAGCTTGAAATCAGACGGTTTGAGCAACCTGCAGTTGACGACAGTTGCCATTGGTATGGAGAACGGTCAGATCCATCTGTACGACTGCTCCTCTGCGGAGACGCTAGATCAAGGACCGGTGAAAGTGATTCATGGCCACACTGGCCCAGTCACGGGTGTCGCATTCCACCCGAAGCGCGGAGAGGACCAGGGGAAGCCGAAGACGGTAGGCCGAAAATCTTCGAAGGCCTCTGAAGCGGCCGCAGCCGAAGAAGGCGAGGAGGGCGAAGAAGGCGAAGAGCGAGAGCCAAGCAAGCAGATTCCAGTTACGGACCCTCCCGTGATTAGTTATAGTTAGAAGGAATTCTAGAGTCGTAAACGTAATACATTCCGATTTTTTCGCATTTGCAAATTTGCAATTATATCTTCCCTTCTTCCTCTAAGCTCCTTTGCGGCGCATATGGCACGAAACCGAACCTGTTCTCGTGCTCCCACGATGGCACTGTTCGCATGTGGAACACTTTGATTGGTGAAGAAACGACCGAGCAAGCTGGTGAGCTTACCTGCATGAATGGCAAGAAGGGACCGTCCCCACAGCACTCTTTGAGTGTGTCCTGCGATGGCACAGCCTGCGTCAGTGGTGGTCAGAACGGTAAGTTCTACTACTTCAACGTCGATGAAAGCGACTTTATCCGTGGACCGCCAAAGGTGTTGCCACTGCCGGCAGAGCCGGAAGAAGGATGGCCAGAGGAAGGTACTATTTGTATTTGTAGGGTTCTTTTTATCTTTGGTTGTTGATCTTGCATTTCATGTTTATAGTATCATGATGGGCTAGAAGTGGCACTAGTACAGTGGAACAAGATAAAACATCCATAGATTCCCGGTACTGCTTGAAAAAAATGTTTCAACGTCAACATTTAACATAACCTAAAAAAAGGTCCCCCTGAGCCGGAAACCGAACCTGGTGACCCGATCACGTTTGCGGCGCACAGTGATGCCATTTCCTGCATCTCCTGGTCTCCGTTGAATCCGCGGCTTTTGGCGACTGCTGCTGCGGACGCCACGGTGGTTATCTGGGACATGTGGAACAAGGAACAGACGGTTCTAGAACCTTCTCTCAACATGGATCCCATTCAGAACCTGACCACGTTCGTCCAATGGTCGCCCGATTGTGCCTCTATCGTTTGCTCGAACGAGGACATGAACATGCAGATCTTCTCTGCCGTGAGCGGTAACGCGCGCACTGCGCCCCTCCCGGGCCACGTTGCCACAGTTTACAACGGTGCGTGGGCGCCATTAGGTCAGTGCTTAGCCACCTGCTCTGAGGACACGACTGTTCGACTTTGGCACTTCCGGTTGAACCGTGACATTGCAGAAATCACGACATTGGAGAAGGAACAGGCAGAGTTCAATTCCGACATGCTTTTCTGGCAAAAACTGCTGGACAAGATCCGCAAAACCTTTAAAAACTATGAGCACTGGCAAGAGTACGAGCCGGATATCTACCTGTTGCGCTCGTCTTTGGACAAGGGTGTTGCAAGGACACAGAGCTACAACGAAAGGGAGGCGCTTCTCGGTGCACACTAGATTGATTTTTAGAGCACTTTTTTTTTGTCTGACATCCATCGTTGCATTTAGTTATATGTTTTTTTAGATGTTGGAGAGCGAAACGAACGTCCTTTCAGCTATTATGATTGTCAACTACATGACCTGTACCGTAATCTTCATCTCAAACTTTACAACCTCCTCTCAAACTTAACATCCTCTCAAACTTTACATCCTCTCAAACTCAAGGTCTCGTTCGTTCCGACTATTACGAATTGGATGGCATGATCGATGATTACAAGCCTTACTATGTCCTCTGGGATGCCGTCATCAACTTCCAGAAACTGCAGAAACTGTGGCACGACCAGCCGTTGTCCAGCATCAACGCTCCGAAGGTCGAGGAGCAGCTCGATCAGTGGTTCAAGGACTGCGTGAAGATGATGAAGCAGTTTTCTTCAGACAGCATGAAGAACGTGCGCAACACCGCACGCGCATTGCGAGACGCCATCGACGCATTCAAGGTCAAGTTTCCCTTCTTGCGAGCATTCTCTTCGGAAGCTATTCTCCAGCGTCACTGGGATGCTTTGGCTGAGCGTATGAATGGAGTGCGACCGAAAACAACCGACATCAAACTCATTACCATGCAAGAGATGTTGGATCTTGGTAACACCACTTACATTTAGACTTTTTTAGACTATGATTTTTACTGTACAGGCCGTATAGGAGTTGAATATAGTTGAGGCACGTCTCGTATGGAAATTCTTATTCAGGAGCACATACTATCATACAGTACTGTGCTTATACTCTCTTAGTTCTGTGCTAATATACCACATTATCATCCACATAATGCTCATACTAAGTATCTTAGTACAACTGTGCTTCATCTCCACAATTACCCACTTTAGGCGTCCTCGATTTTCCGGAGGACTTCGAAGAGATTGCTCTTGCGGCAACGAAGGAGTTCAGTTTGAAGCGTGCTCTTGCAAACATGAAAGTCGAATGGGAACCAATTGCGGTCGTGCTCAAAGCGTACAAGAATACCGGTGTGCCGCTTCTCGGTGGTATCGACGAAATCCAGGCTTACTTGTTATGGCTTCAGCACTGTTCACCTTCATTGTTCTACTAGATTTTTGCTGGAGGAAGATGATAATTTCATGATTTGATTTAGTTTCTCTCACTTGGACAACTTGGTATGATGATGAATCTCTTGTCTATTGTAGTAGTGCCTTCTGCTTCTTGTGTCTTAGGTACTACAGTAGGATCTCCGTGAAGAGATGACCTTAGAGGTTCAAGGCCTCACTCCTCTAAACTCCGACGATTTCATCGTGAAGACCCAAGCGATTCGTTCTTCGCCATTCTGCAAGCCCTTCGAGGCCGAGGTGCACGAGTGGGAAGCTCTTTTGCTACGCATTCAGGAGTTCGTCGACGAGACTATCTTGCTGCAGCGTTCCTGGATGGCTCTCGAGCCTATCTTTGTTTCCGACGATATCAAACGCCAGCTGCCGCACGAGTCCGAACAGTTTGAGGTCGTGGACAAGATGTTCCGCACACGCATGAACGAAGTGGACGAAGACAAGCTGGCCCTCAGGGTCGGACGCATCCCGGGACTGGTGGAGGATTTGAAACAAGGTAACGAGACGATCGAGAAGGTGCAGAAGGGGTTGAAGGACTACCTGGAGACCAAGCGACTCTACTTCCCGCGTTTCTTCTTCCTGAACGATGCAGATTTGCTGTCGATTCTGGCCGAGACCAAGGATCCCACCGCAGTGCAGCCGCACTTGGGTAAAGCGTTCGAAGGTATCGCGAAGGTGCGCTTCAACGATGGTAAGACCATTATTGAGTCTATGATTTCGGCGGAAGGTGAGGAGATCGAGTTGAAGAGACAAATCGATACGGATAAGCCGGGGAACAAGGGAGCGGTCGAGCGCTGGCTGGTCGAATTAGAGGAGAGCATGATGGACTCGCTGCGTATTATCATCGGCGAGTGCAACGAGAACTACGCGCAGATTGAGCGTCATCAGTGGTGTCTCATGTGGCCAGGTCAGGTCGCGATCTGCACCTCGTGCTACTACTGGACCATCCAAGCGGAGGAGTTCCTGGACGCTAAGAAAATCGGCGAATTCGAGAAGAAGCTCTTCCAGCAGATCGCGAACATTGTCGAGTTGGTGCGAGGCGAGATGCCGAAGCTGGCTCGTGTCACCGTCGGAGCCTTGGTAACGCTGGATGTGCACGCTCGTGATGTGATCACCGAGTTGCGCGAGAACAACTGCGACTCCAAGGAGGACTTCCAGTGGCTGTCGCAATTGCGCTACTACTGGCAGAACATCGGAGACATGACCATGAACAATGGCACGCCCAACACCAAACAGGAATGCAAGGTGTCCATCGTGAATTCCACGCTCTTGTACGGCTTCGAGTACTTGGGGAACACCGCTCGTTTGGTGGTCACGCCGTTGACGGATAGGTGCTACCGAACGTTGATGGGCGCATTTGCTCTGTACTACGGTGGAGCACCCGAAGGTCCGGCCGGAACGGGTAAGACCGAGTCCACGAAGGATTTGGCCAAGGCTCTGGCCGTGCAGTGCGTGGTGTTCAACTGCTCCGATAGTATGGATTACCTGCAGTTAGCGAAGTTCTTCAAGGGTCTGGCCTCGTCTGGTGCGTGGTGCTGCTTCGATGAGTTCAACCGAATTTCTCTCGAGGTGCTCTCCGTCGTCGCACAGCAGATTCAGCAGATCTCGTTGGCCATTAAACAGCGCGTTGACACGTTTGTGTTCGAAGAAACGGAAATCCGACTCGTCCCGACGTGCGCGGTGAACATTACCATGAACCCGGGTTATGCCGGTCGTTCCGAACTGCCGGATAACCTCAAGGCTTTGTTCCGACCGTGCGCAATGATGGTTCCGAACTACGCCTTGATTGCCGAGATCCGTCTCTACTCCTTTGGTTACGCCGATGCGAAGAGGATCGGCATGAAGGCGACGATGGCCCTGAAGCTATCTTCCGAACAGCTGTCACCGGCAAAGCACTACGATTTCGGAATGCGTGGTCTCAACGCGCTCTTGGTCGCTGGTGGTAACGGAAAGCGAACCTATGGCGACAAGTATCCGGAGGACCAGATTGCCTTGCGTTCGTTTATGGACGTCAACTTGCCGAAGTTTACCTCTGCCGATACACCGTTGTTCAAGGGTACTGATTGGATTTTGTATTTAAAAAACTCAGACAGATTTGTGTTCCACATGATACCCGTCTAAGATCTAGTGTTCCTTTTCGAGGCCCTTGGTCTAAAACTGATTTTTTTGATAATTTTTTTCCCAGGAGATCGATGTAGTTGCAGTTGGGGTGTACTTTTTCTCGTTGAAGGAAATTTAGACGCTTCTTCATTATAGGGTCTTCGAAGGAAACGCTAATAGTACACCTTGTCCGTACACCAGGAAGTCATGAACTTTCCTCTCTCCCACCTTAAGGTATCATTGGTGATTTGTTCCCTGGTGTGCGTCTGCCGCCAGCAGACTACGGTGCGCTGGTGACCAACCTTGAGGCAGTCACGGAGACCTTTGGTCTGCAGCCCACTCGTCAGTTCACTAACAAGGCAGTGCAGCTGTGGGAGACCATTGTGGTGCGCCACGGTTTGATGACTGTCGGTTTTCCGCCTTGCGGTAAGACCTGCATCAAGGAGGTGTTGGCTACTACTCTCGGAAAGATTGAAGGCACGAACGAGTTGTTCATGCCCGTTGTCCAGTACGTGATGAACCCGAAGTCTATCACACAGGGTCAGCTGTACGGAGAGGCGGATCTGAACACCCAGGAGTGGACCGACGGTGTCTTGGCCATTGCCGTGCGTAACGGTTCGCAGCCAGTTGGCGCAGATGGTAAGATGCGCCGTCAATGGGTCGTCCTCGATGGTCCAGTCGATGCTATCTGGATCGAGAACATGAACACCGTGCTGGACGACAACAAGAAGCTGTGCTTGAACTCCGGTGAGATCATCAAGCTGTCTCCAGTGACCACGATGTTGTTCGAGGTGCGCGACTTGGAGTACGCTTCTCCAGCTACGGTCTCGCGTGTCGGGATCGTCTACCTAGAACCGGATACGGATTTGGGCTGGCAACCGATCATCCAGTCGTGGCTCATCACTCTGCCAGAGTTCATCCGCAAAGACCACGAGAAGCAGTTGATGGACATGTTCAGCGGTACCTTCGAGGTGCTGCTGGAGACCGTGCAGCGCGTGTCGACTCCGGTTGCCTGCAGTGACAACTGGCTGGCACTCAGCGCCTGCCGCTTGCTGGAGAGCTTGATGATGGATCAGCTGATGGGCTACTGCCGACCGGACGGCGAGCCGAATGAGGAGGACAAATCCGCGCCTCAACCGCAATCCGCCATCGATCGCGAATTGATCATCGCCCAGTTGTACTACTTCACGATGACGTGGACAGTCGCTGCGGTGTCCAACAACGATGGACGCGCCGTTGGGGACGCGACCATCAAGGCTGTGATCGAGAAGAAGAGTGAGTACTTCAAGAAGAACAACTTCGTCGCCTTCCCCGAGTTCTACGACCTCCAGTCTGGCGCAGCCATTCCGGCTCCTCCGCGTAAGGGTACACTCCACGATTACTTCATCGATCCGGAAGATGGCGGCAAGTGGAAGCTGTGGACAGAACGCATCCCGCAATTGGACATCCCGAAGGGCACGCTGTTCCATACGATCGTGGTTCCGACTGCCGATACTGAGCGCAACCAATTCTTGATCCGCACTTTGATCGAAAAGGGCCACAACGTGCTGTTCTCCGGTCCCACGGGTACGGCCAAGACCGCTAGTATTAACGGTATGTTGCTGAACGGATTCCACCCGAAGAAGTACAGCACGATCCAGTTCGCGTTCTCGGCACAGACGACGGCCAATCAGACCCAGGATATCATCGACGGTAAGCTGGACAAGCGACGAAAGGGTGTCTTCGGTCCGCCTATGAACAAGAAGATGCTTGTCTTCATCGATGACTTGAACATGCCTACCAAGGAAACCTATGGCGCACAACCTCCGATCGAGATCCTGCGTCAGGCTATGGTCAAGACGCCGCTTGGCTTTGGTTGGTACGACCGCAAGGGCTGGGACTTCCGCAATTTGGTCGACATCCACTACTTAGCCGCTATGGGTCCACCAGGTGGCGGTAAGAACGACATCACGGATCGTTACTCGCGTATGTTCAACCTGGTCTTCGTCACACCGTTCGATGACGAGTCTCTGGCGCGTATTTTCACGACAGTGGTCGGCGTCTTCTTCCAAGCCTTGCCGCGTGACGTCGCCGCTCAAGTCCCGCAAACGGTCCAGGGTGTGCTCGATGTGTACTTCACCATGATGCGCGACTTCTTGCCGACCCCAGCGAAGTCGCATTACACGTTCAATATGCGTGACGTCTCCAAGGTCTTCCAGGGTATGTGCATTTGCACACGTGAATCGCTGCCGAAGTTAAGACTATAGTACCCTTTTCTCTTTTATATTTTCCTCCGGTCTGTCTTTTTTCTAGTTAGGTCGGCTCCACCACAAACTATAGTACAGTAAATACACAGATCATGATTTTTCCATTGTTGTTCGTGTTTTGATGTGGAACATCAGTCTTCAGACCGCGTAGACGCCTAGAACAAAAGAAAGTAGACTTCTTTCCTCTAGACTCTACTCTCCTACAAGTTGTGGTAGACCCCCTCACTGCTCTAACCATTGTTGAGGACTTGTGCAAGGTGTGGATGCACGAGTGCGAGCGTGTCTTCAAGGATCGATTGATCAACCGCCAGGATCAGAACCAGTTCCACATGATTATCAAGCGCTTAATGGACAAGCACTACAAGAAACCCTACGACCAAGTTGTGAAGCTGGAGCCGGTCATCTTCGTGGACTTCGTGGACCCGAAGAGCACGAGCTACCAGGAAGTGCCAGACCACGAGAAACTGTTGGAGAAAGTGCAGGAATGCTTGGATGACTACAACAACGTGAGTAAGATTCGATTGGATTTGGTGCTTTTCACGGCGTTCTTGGAACACATCTGCCGCGTGATTCGTGTGCTGAAGTTGCCGCTAGGTAACGCTCTCCTCGTCGGTGTCGGTGGTAGCGGACGTAAGTTAAGGGTACACCTTTAAGGTGCTTTTCGTGCCGCTTTTTATGCCTCTCTCATCCTAAGGGAGAGAGAAAGGGGGCATAACAAGCGGGGGAACCCGCGAGCACCAAAAGCCTACCTCTAAGTAAGTCCGTGACCACGCTGGCCACCTACGTTGCAGAATACGAACTGTTCCAGATCGAGCTGGCGAAGGGCTACGGCCTGAACGAATGGCACGATGACATCAAACGCTTGCTGATCTCTGCGGGTGGTCAAGCCAAGAACATGGTGTTCCTGTTCCCAGATACCCAGATCGCCAATGAGACCTTCTTGGAGGAGGTGAGTTCCATTTACGGCGAGCGAGGAGCTCAGCACTTATATTAAAATATTCTATTCAACATCTTGAAGAAGAGAGCGAGGAGCTCAGCACTTATATTAAAATATTCTATAATTTATCTTGAAGAGCAAGAGAGGCATGATGATCTTTGGAGGATCCCTTGCTATAAGGGAAAAATGCGTCAGAGATGCGCCTTTAAGTAGATGAATATCTTCGGTGAGGTCTAATCCAGCTTGAACACGGGCGAAGTGCCGAACTTGTACTCGAATGAGGATAAGATGGAGATCATGGAGCTGTGCGCCAAGGGCGCCAACGCCGTTGGTCAAATCACGCCGAACGAGGTCTTCGCCTGGTACGTGCTGCAGTGCCGAAAGAACTTGCATATTTGCTTGGCCTTGTCCCCGATTGGTGGTGAATTCCGTCTGCGCCTGCGAAACTTCCCGTCGTTGGTGAACTGCTGTACCATCGATTGGTTCATGGAGTGGCCGCCACAAGCGCTGACTGCAGTCGCGAAGCAATTCTTGCGAACGATTGAAATGGATGAGTCGGTACAATTTTTTACTGATTAATGTTATTCGTTCCTGCTTTGCTTTGAGAATTCATTTCGTCTGAGCTTTGTAGCCCATCAACAGGAACAACAGGAACAGGCAAGAAACCAATAACAATCCAACAACAAGCTAGACTAGCGAGTAGAATTCGCCTGGGAAATCTTAGGCAGCCCGCCGAATAGATTCCAATCGTCATCATCTAACATTTAGGATCCAGATTTGGACGACACGCAGTAGAACAATCACTTTCTGACAAGTAAATTGATGACGCTTCCACCTGATTTTGATTACTGACAGGTGAAAGACAACGTTGTGAAAGTGATGGTCGACTTCCAGACGAGCGTGATTGAGCTGGCCGAGAAGTTCTTCAAGCAGGAGAAGCGCATCTTCTACGTTACGCCAACCTCTTATTTGGACCTGATCTCGACCTTCATCATTATGTTGGGTCAGCAGCGTGAGAAGGTTGCCGGCAACAAGTCCCGCTACGACGTTGGAATGGAGAAGATCGAGGAGGCTGCTTCCGCAGTCGGCGCTCTGCAGAAGGATCTGGAGGATCTGCAGCCAAGTTTGGAGAAATCGGCTAAGGAAACCTCTGAGCTGATGATTCACGTCGAAGGCGAACAGAAGAAGGCAGCTGAGAAGCAGAAACTAGTCGACGCCGATGCCGCTGCGGCGGAAGAAGAGGGCCGCATTGCGAATGAGATCAAGGCGGACTGCGAGAAGGATTTGGCTGCCGCGATGCCCGCGTTGGATGCTGCTGTCGATGCTCTGTCCAAGCTGTCGAAGGGCGATATCGGTGAGGTGAAGGCAATGAAGACGCCACCGGCAGGTGTCATCTTGACCTCGCAAGCACTGTGCTACATGTTCAACTTATGGCTGCTTTGTTTCATGTTACAACACGATTAGTTTACGCATTATTCAAGATCAGGAGGTATATATACAAACTGGAGACTTAACCCCCGGGGATCCTAAATCTACTGGTGAGTTATACTTTTTAGTGCTGTGGCAGCACGGTAGGCTGGCTCGGC